CACTAAAGGACTAGCCACACTAGCCAGGGTGGAGATAGATACATTTTTATGGAATTTAATTGAATCCAGTTCTTCTATCTTACAGTGCTTAAGACTCAATCTGGTATCACTACCAACCTCATTCAGGACCAATTATCCAACCTAAAATTGCTGATTTGTAAGAAACTTCTTTTACCCAGTAGAAAAGGTATTTGGGTTCCTTTCTGAGGCCAGATTAAGAAATGGCTTTTTGAGCCAAAATCAGTTTGGCTCAGTGGTAGAGTGTCAGTCTGCAGACTGAAAGGTCCCAGGTTCGAAAAGAAATAACTTCTGTGTGCTACCCATATGACTAAGTCTCAGTTTCCACATCTGTAAGATAATAGCTACCCATCATTCAAGTCTCAGGTAAAAATGTCACCTTCTCAAAAGTTCTAGGATATCACATAAAAAAAGAATGTCATACCCCAAGTTACTCGCTAGCCAATTTAATGTCTTATGTTTTTTTCTCATTACAGTTATACTTAAAATTTAAAAAAATATATTTTGATTTTTTTACAGAGAGGAAGAGAGAGGGACAGAGAGCTAGAAACATCGATGAGAGAGAAACATTGATCAGCTGCCTCCTGCACACTCCCTGCTACCCTGTTTCCCCTAAAATAAGACAGTGTCTTGCCAAAACCGGTTTGGCTCCATGGATAGAGCATCGGCTTGAGGACTGAAGGGTCCCGGGTTCAATTCTGGTCAAGGGCCTGTACCTTGGTTGCGGGCATATACCTTGGGCATATTCCCAGTAGGGGGTGTGCAAGAGGCAGCTGATTGATGACTCTCTCTCATCGATGTTTCTAACTCTCTATCTCTCTCCCTTCCTCTCTGTACAAAATCAATAAAATATATTTTTTTTTAAAAAAGAAAGAAAATAAGACAGTGTCTTATATTAATTTTTGCTCCCAAAGATGTGCTAGGTCTTATTTTCAGGGGATGTCTTATTTTTCCATGAAGAAGAATACGGTACACATTTATTGTTAAATGAAAATAAAGGAAATTTATTACCTGTGTATGGTACGGTAGTATGGTAGTTGTCAACACAAACCAGACAAACTGTGAATCCTACAGTATCAAGAATTTACTCATTTATTCAATGACAATCATGTCACCATCTTCTGGAACATCATCATAACAATCCAATTCCTGAATTTCCTGGTGAATTTTTTGTGACTCCATTTCTTTCAGAATCAGTGGACCAAATCTCTCATGTTTAGCCTGGGGGGGCCTTATTTTTGGTGGATGCCTTATATTTCACTCAGAAAGAAACCTGAAAGTAGGTCTTATTTTCGGAGGATGTCTTATTTTCGGGGAAACACGGGTAGATATGTGTCTGAAACCAAGGTACGTGCCCTTGACTGAAATTTAACCTGGGACTTTTCAGTCCGAAGGCAGACGCTCTATTCACTGAGCCAAACCAGTTTTGGCAGTGAGGGAGATTTTTAGAAACAAAATTCAGATTATGTCTTGCCCCAACTTAAACATCATCAATAGCTTTCTAGATACTATAATTAGCCCAAACTCCTTTATATGGTCCGGTCCCTGGCATCCTCTTAGGCTTCATCTGCTTTAGTTTAGCTGGTCTTCCTTCCCCTCTCCTTCCCTCCCCTCCTCTCCCCTCCCCTCCCCTCCTCTCCCTTCCCCTCCCCTCCCCTCCCCTGCCCTCCCCTCCCTCCCCCTCCCCTCCTCTCCCCTCCCCTCCCCTCCTCTCCCTTCCCCTCCCCTCCCTTCCCCTCCCTTTCCTTCCATCCTCTCTCCTCTCTTCCCCTCCCCTCCCCTCCCCTCCCCTTCCTTTCCCTTCCATCCCCACTCCTCCCTTTCCCTTCCATCCCCTCCCTTCTTTCCTCCTTCCCCTATTTACCTTCCTTTAATCTCCTCCACCCAGCCCCTACCCCCAAGGCCTTTACCACATTATTGTCTGTGTCCATGGGCTATGCATATAAATATATGTTTTTTGGTTTATCTCTTCTTGTTCCCCACCCCCCAATATGTCAGTCTGTTCCATGCTTCCATGCCTCAGGTTTTACTTTGTTGGTCAATTCATTTTGTTCATTAACTCCCACAAATAAGTGAGATCATGTGATATTTGTCTTTGTCTTTCTGTGATTGGCTTATTTCACTTAGCATAATAGTTTCCAGATATACCCATGCTGTCTCAAAGAGTAAGAGATTCTTTTTTCTTTTTTTTTTCTTTTTTTTTTTTTTTAACAGCTGCATGATATTCCATTGTGTAAATGTACCACAGTTTTTTATTTATTCATCTACTGATGGGCACTTGGGTTATTTCCAAATCTTAGCTATTGTAAATAGCGCTGCTATGAATATAGGGGTGCATACATTCTTTCCAATTGGTGTTTCGGAGTTTTTAGGATATATTCCAAGAAGTGGGATCACTGGGTTAAACAGCAATTCCATTTTTAAAAAATCATATTTTTATTGATTTCAGAGAAGGAGAGGAGAGAGAAACATCAGTAATAAGAGAGAATCATTACTCGATTACCTCCTGCACACCCCCTACTGGGGATTAAGCCCACATCCCAGACATGTATCCTGACCAGTATTGAACAATGACCTCCTGATTCACAGGTTGATGCTCAGCCACTGAGCCATGACGGCTGGGTGGCAGTCCATTTTTAATTTTTTGAAGAAACTCCATACTGTTTTCTGTAGTGTCTGCACCAGTCTGCATTCCTACCAGTAGTGAACTAGTGTTCCCTTTTCTCCATATCCTCACCAGCACTTGTCTGTTGATTTATTTATGATAGCCATTCTGACAGGTGTAAGGTGTTATGCAGAAGATGAAACTAGACGACCAACTTACACCATACAGAAGAATAAACTCAAAATGGATTAAAAAAAACTTAAATATAAGTCATGAAGCCATGAAAACCCTAGAAGAAAACTTAGGCAGTAAAATATCAGATATCTCATGTAGCAGAATTTTCATCCATGCAACTCTTGGACTGAGAGATGCAACTGCTATTTAACAAGGTGGTCAGACAAGGACTCTCCAAGGAGGTGACATTGGTGCGCAGATTTAAAAAATATATATATATTTTATTGATTTTTTACAGAGAGGAAGAGAGAGGGATAGAGAGTTAGAAACATTGATGAGAGAGAATAATCGATCAGCTGCCTCTGGCACACCCCATACTGGGGATGTGCCCAAAACCAAGGTACATGCCCTTGACTGGAATTGAACCCAGGACCTTTCAGTCCATAGGCTGACGCTCTATCCACTGAGCCACTGGTGGTGCTCAGATCTTTTGTGCTGATTCCTTTGGTTCACACTTGGAGTTCCCATATTTGTGCTTCACAGCGCCAGTGATGAAACAATCAGAGTCATGCAGCACCAAATATGTGGTAGGCAGTGGGAAAGGCACCATGTGCCTGACAGGTGGGGTCAGACCAAACCTGAGTTCAGCAACCTTGGTACATAGTTCTGGCTAGGAAAGAATTCAGAACAAGACCCAAACTGTAAGAGAACATTTTTTAAATAAATTACAGAGATAGAAAAAATAATTCCCAGGAGAAATAGGCTTAGGAAACAAGTTCTAGAGGTAAAGGAAGGGCCCCTGGAGTAAGAAGCTGATGGTGCCTTGGGAGGAGGAATCGGGGGAAGGGGAAGAGAAAGGGAAATAGAGAGGGAAGGAAAAGGCATGGGTATGCTCCCTGGAGGGAGAGCCAATACAAACATATTTTTAAAAGAGAAAAGAATGATCGCTGTTTTAGTGGCAGGCAGAACAGTAATGGACTCTTCTGTGGAAATCTTGTGTTAGCAAGCTTCTTATTGTCATTCAGACCTGAGTTTAAACTAGGCTTCCTTTGAGCAGAGGTATCACTAGCCTGCTGGGCTGGCATGGCTCAGTAGTTGAACATTCACCTATGAACCAGGTCACGGTTCAATTCCTTGGGTCAGGGCACATTCCCGGGTAGTGGGCTTAATCCCCAGATTGAGTGTGCAGGAGGCAGCTGATCAGTGATTCTCTCTCATCATTGATGTTTCTATCTCTCTCTCCTTCTCCCTTCCTCTCTGAAATCAATAAAAATATATTTTAAAAAGTATCACTGGTCTAAAATGGTCATTTCTTATTACACTACCTTTTACAGCACTTATCATAATATTACTTAATGTTTCCTTGTTTATTATATCTTTGCCTCTTCCCAACTATGTTTTTAAAATACATAACATTTTATTATTATATATTTTTATCTATTCCAGAGAGAAAGGGAAAGGTTGAGATAGAAATATTAATGATGAGAGAAAATCATTGATTGGCTGCCTCCAACTGGGGGCCAAGCCCAACCTGGGCATGTGCCCTTGACTGGGATGGAACCCAGGACCTTTCAGTCTGCAGGTTGATGCTCTATCCACTGAGCCAAACCAGCTGGGACCCAACTAGGTCCAACTAGGTTTTGTTTCATGAGCACAGAAAACTTGTTTGTCATATTCATCACTCTATCCCCAAAGCTAGAGCAATGCCTGGAACATATAGTATATGCTTAATAGCTATTTGTTGAATAAATAAATGTTGATTATGATGATGACAAAGAATCCTCGAACGACCTGGCCATAAATTCTAACAATTCTCCCAAGAGTAATAATTGCAGTTCCGAAGTTAGATCCCGGGAGAAAGTGGAAACTTGACAATAAAAGTCTGGGGCAGAAGGCTGGGGGAAGCAGAGGGAATATATTAGAAGTTTGGCCTTTTGTTCCTATTCAAGGACCTCAGATATCTTGCAAAAGGAAGTCCTATAATCTTTTGATCAGAAATTCCAGGCCAGCCACAATGGATGTGTTTTATCCATGATTCTTTGCAGCCACTTTTGCTAAGTCGCAAATACGCAAACACCTCTAGGACCCTGGGTTCCTTTCTGTTTCTTTATGAATGAACCGGCTCCAGTCTGCGCACGCGCAGCTCCCGGTTCTCCCGCTACACGTGAGGCCCACCCTTTCCTCCCGCTGGTGGCCCCGCCCCAATGTTTTCTAATAGACCAATAGGAAGCGGTCTGGGGGGCGGAGCCCGGCGCGACGCGGCATACTAGTTCTCCCGGCGCGCCTCTCCCTCGCTTTAGTCTTGCTGTGTTGTGATCACGTGGCGAGCTCCGGGCGCGGCGCTTGTTTTGGTTTCTCTCTAGCCTGGCCCTTGCACCTTCTAGAGAGCTTTTCTGAGCCAGTGGCTGCATCTGTCTTCACTGTGACCTCCTCTTCTTAGGGCTTTCCCAGCCCGCAGTTCTGCAAGCCCTTCGGGGCCGACCCCTGCCATGCCGCTGGTCCGCTATCGCAAGGTGGTCATCCTCGGGTACCGCTCTGTAGGTGAGTCTCCGCCCTGGGGAGAGCATGGACGCACCGCTGCTTTGTGGCCAGAGGAGGCGCGCTGCCGCGGGAACGCGACTAAGGGAGGAATGGTGGCATCGTTAGAATGGAGATGTAGAGCGAGGATTGAAAGGATATTGGAGGAAAGCCTGGGGGTGGTTATAGTGTGTGGAGAGCTGCAGGAAGCGGAATATAGAAGGGTTAATGTGGACTTGGCTGTAGGAATACCGGCGTGATCTCCAGCATTAGTCTTGGGGGTAGGGATGGGGATCAGCGTTTGATGGCAGGGCGTGGTCTGTGTTGGGTAAGTCGCAGGTGTCCGGGTGAGGGACAGACTTGATCCTAAGGAATCTCGGAAATTCCCAGGGATGGGGTGGGGAAAGGACGCAGAAAAGGCTTCCTGCAGAGCTACTGAATGCATCCGGTGGCCTAGGTGCAGAGATCCAGGGAGAAAGGAGGGTTGAGGGTAGGCTAAGGGCAAGTATTGCATGGGGCATTCACTGACTAGGGTGCTCATTTGGGGTCCCCTTTATTCTTGGGCTACAGCTCAAAAGGACAGAGGGTGTGAATGTGGATAGCTAATTGTATACTACCACTGCTTTCTACAGGAAAGACATCTTTGGCACATCAATTTGTGGAGGGCGAGTTCTTGGAAGCCTATGATCCTACAGTGGATAATAGTGAGTGAACTTCTCCCTGGGGGTTGGGCAGTAAGGGAGGGCTTGGGTGCCCCACCCAGCTCTATAATATGGGATTACCCTGACGCCAAGGAATAATTTAATTGTATTATTTGATTAGGCATTAAATCTAATCTCTTCTCTAGCAGTCCTTTCTATGAGTGGAGCCAGAGTATGGATTTTGCAAGATGCTGAGTCCAGAATGGTGCAGATGTAAACAATAAAAATCTTAATATTTTCTCTCCAGTTTCCTGGAGAACTCCCTGGACCTAGTCCATCTGTGTCTCCCCCCGGGATTAAAAATGTATGGGGGTGCTAAAACCGATTTGGCTCAGTGGATAGAGCTTCAGCCTGCGGACTGAAGGGTCCCAGGTTCGATTCTGGTCAAGGGCATGTACATTGGTTGCGGGCACATTCCCAGAAGGGTGTTTGCAAGAGGCAACTGGTTGATGTTTCTCTCTCATCGATGTTTCTAACTCTCTATCCCTCTCCCTTCCTCTCTGTGGAAAATCAATAAAATATATTTTAAAAAATGTGTGGGGGTATACATTGCTAGCCATACAAAGCACCTCACAGTTAAGTTTTCTTTTCTTTACAGCTTACAGCAAGATAGTGACTCTTGGCAAAGACGAGTTTCACCTACACCTGGTGGACACAGCAGGGCAGGTACTAGTTTGGGGTAGGGTATTTAAATGTGGTAGTTCAGTCCCGAGAGATGAAATCTGGTAACCTCTGTGTTTCATTCATAAATTAGTATTTAAAGAAAAGCATTTTAGCATCTGGTAGTGGGTAGAACTTGTTGGAGCTACTCAATAAATACTTGTTGAATAAAAGTGACTGGAATAGGGAGTCCCCCAGGGAGGGTACCAGGATACAGTCCACCAACCTTTGTCATCTGAGTATTATGGATCTAGGTATTGATATTTCTTTTTCTTATCAGGATGAGTACAGCATTCTGCCCTATTCATTCATCATTGGGGTCCATGGTTATGTGCTTGTGTATTCTGTCACCTCTCTGCATAGGTAAGTGACCAAGGTTGGGAGTAGGGGACTTTTGAGGATCTGAGGGTTATGGCTCATTTCTTTTTTCTTTTTCTTTTTCTTTTTTTTTTTTTTACTTAAATCCTTATTGAAAGTACTACATATGTCCTCCCCTTCCCCCCATTGACCTATCTAACCCACTTCCAACCCCCCTCCCCAGGCCTTCACCACCCTGTTGTCTTTGTCCATGGATTATACATATATGCATACAAGTTCTTTGGTTAATCTCTTCCCACCCACCTTCCCCGCCTTCCTTCGGAGATTCCGCAGTCTGATAGCTCCATTTCTTGTTTTTAAAGCTTCCACGTCATTGAGAATCTGTACCAAAAGTTACATGAAGGCCATGGGAAAACTCGGTAAGTGGACCTAGGGAATAGAGACACAATGTGGATACTGCAGCATGGGAGAGAGCAGAAGGGAATTCTGGTTTAAGTTAGAGAGGAGGCTGGGACGAGATCCTGTCTGGTCTGATGGGGAGTTGTCCAGCCCTGATGTGAAGGAGGTTGGGGTTCATGGGTGGTTGGAGGGGATCCTGTGGTAACTATTGTTTCCTCATAGGCTGCCGGTGGTGCTAGTGGGGAACAAGGCAGATCTCTCTCCAGACAGGTATGGTAATCTCTGAAGCTCAAGATGATGGAAAGTAAGCTGGGCTAGAAATCAATCAAGCTCTGGTTCTGGCTCTGCCACTGACTTGAACCAAGTCATTTCACCTCTTTTTGTTTCTAACTTAAAGGTTAGGACATAACACTTCAGTTTTCAAAAGTTTTAATTTCATATTTCAAGCCTTAGTTCCAGGCTTCTTCGTTTTACTTATATTTTCTCCTTCCCCAACCCTCTTTCTAAATATTGGAAGTGGGATGGGTTAGAAAAAAAATCTAGATTTTATAAAGATTTTGCAGTCCTGGCCAGTATTGCTCAGTTATTAGAGTATCGGCTTTTGGACCCAAGGGTTGTGGGTTTGATTCTCAGTGAAAGGCATGTACCTTGGTTTAATCCCTGCCAGTCAGGGCAGGTGCAGGAAGCCACCAATCCATGTGCCTCACGTGTCTCTCATCAGTTTCTTTCTCTTTACTCCCCTCCCCCTTCCTCCCTCTCTTCTACTCTCTCTAAAAGTCTATGAAAAAAATAACTTCAGGTGAGGATTAAAAAAAAAAGCTCTAGCTGGTTTGGCTCAGTGGACAGAGTGTTGGCCTGCAGACTGAAGGGTCCCAGGTTCAGTTCCAGTCAAGGGCACATACCCAGTTTGCGGGCTTGATCCTCAATAGGGGGTGTGCAGGAGGCAGCCAATCAATGATTCTCTCTTATCATTGATGTTTCTGTCTCTCCCTCTTCCTCTCTCTGTATATTTATCTTTTTTAATTTAAAAAAGAAAAGATTTTGTAGAGAACATGGGGACATTGCTATCTTCCATCTTCATGCCCCAAATTTGCTTCCAGGGAGGTCCAGGCAATTGAAGGGAAGAAACTGGCAGAGTCATGGGGTGCGACATTCATGGAATCATCAGCTCGAGAGAATCAGGTGATGGATCTGAAAATTAGGAAGATGGTGGGGGTGGCGGTATTTTTTCCTACTGAAGTGCTTGGTGGTGGGGATGGTGGAGAGGGGGGTATTCACCTCAGAGCTGGGTGGTACTATTGGCAATGAACTAACTTTTTTTGTCCTGAATCTCTATCCCATGCAGCTGACTCAAGGCATCTTCACCAAAGTCATCCAGGAGATTGCCCGTGTGGAGAATTCCTACGGGCAAGAGCGCCGCTGCAGTCTCATGTGAACCCTCAAGCATGGGGTAGCTGCCTGGATTCTTCCCCTGCCACTTGCCAGGCCACAGGGGGGCAGGTCCTCAGGACTTCACGGGTATGGTTGCCAGCTGTGTCCTGGCCCTCTGGGCACACAGTATGGTACCCTCACGTTTGCACACTTTCCCCAGGCTCCAGTGGCCTGGTTGTCAATGTTTACAAAAGGGGCAAGGATGTCTAATGGGCACTGGCCTCTGTTTTTGCTAAATGAATTCTTATAACCTGCAGGGTTGCGATATGAGTCCTGGGTATTCAGGACCCAGTCTCCTATGTAGGTTTGGGATGTTGGCTGGGTGAAGGGAGTTAGGGACTCTAGAAGTGGAGCTAGTTCCTTGGGGTGACAATGTATATATGCAAATAAACTGAGAAATCTTTTTGTAGTTGACTTCTCTGTATATGGGAGAACACAGCGCCAGTATCTCATTTTCCAAGGATTGATGACTGTGGTCTTTGGTGAGGATTCCGGGCTAATTTCTTTCCTCCTACCTTGTCCTATTCCTTACTTCTCACTCATTCAGGACAATTGCCCTAAGACTTCCTTTACAGGTACCATTGGGCTGCCACACCCATCCAAGTTTGTAACTACAGAAACAGTACCCTCTAGTGGCCACCTGCCACAACGGACCTAGCTTCTCTCATGGGCCTTGGCATTTGCTAGAACTCTGAGAAAAGGTAGGGTTTGGGGAAGAGGAAGGAATCCCCTCCTTCCTAATGATGTAAGAATCAAGAATGAGTATAGAGGCAGGGACTAAACTTTTGTGAAGATTTGGTATTTCTAAGAGAATTGAGTAAAGTAAGAAATAATGCCTCTGGTGTGTATCCATCCTCCTGTAACCCCTTGTCTATAGTTGCCTTTCTTTAAAACAGATTTTCTTTACTATTTCCATACCTTTGGTGACCTTTTGATGCCTTTCACATCTTTGAAATTGTGCTCTGTTTTTATTTTATTTTATTATTATTTTTTAAAATATATTTTATTGACTTTTTACAGAGAGGAAGGGAGAGAGAGAGCTAGAAACGCTGATGAGAGAGAAACATCGACCAGCTGCCTCTTGCACACCCCCTACCGGGGATGTGCCCGCAACCAAGGTACATGCCCCTGACCAGAATCGAACCTGGGACCTTTCAGTCCGCAGACCGACGCTCTACCACTGAGCCAAACCGGTTTCGGCTTGTGCTCTGTTTTTAGGCATCAAGGCTATTGCTTCTGTCCTTATTGGCCCACCACCTCAATAGGACGATGGATATATTTCAGCTAAGAAGGTTTGGTCCTATATATATACAGTTTCTGTGCCTACCCCCTACTTCCCACCAGCCTTAGGGCTTAATTGGCTGTATATCTCCTCCAAGGAATTACCTAAATGGCATCCTTCACAGGAGGGCATAAACTTCTGCCAACTGGGGGAGACTGAGGTATTATTAGTTGGGGAGGATGGACAAAATCTAGTTGTGATTTTTAGCTGTGATCTTGCTAGTGCTTGGCTCTAGGCTAGTTGGACTTATAGTTGGGGATAATTGTCATGCTGGTTTCTAGAAACCCTGACAACTGCTTTGCACCTCTGATCCAAAATCTAAAAAGAAATAAGGGCTGTTGGAAGAAGCATACTGCAAAGAGCAATCTTAATGACTTAGAAGTCTATTTAGGGTTGTCATCGCCCTCTCTCCTTACATTAAATTAGGTCCTATTGCACATCTCACCTGGAACACTCATTACAGGCACCTGCCTTCCTGCTGCCATTTCCAGGAGGTTTGGTATAGGCTTTTGCCTGAGGGTTTCTAGAAGTGTATTGGTCAACTTCAAGACTGGATAGAAGTAAAGAATAGTGGTGAATGGCTGGGCTGGAATAATTACTCTTCCACTTAGTTGAGTAATCTTGCTTCAGCTCTGTGAGCCTCAAATTCTCATTTATGAAGTATAGTCAAACCTTCATAGGTTGATGTGAGAATTAAACAGGTGATATATGGAATGCTTAACACAGCTTCTCATATATAATAAGCCTTTATGAAATGGTAGCTATTTTGTTGTTGGAGGTCTTTCTGGTAGAGTCTACCTCCCTGCCTTTGGGTGCAGAGAGTAGGGGTGTGTGTGCCATTTCTCAGCTTTTGTCTTGATTTATATAGTCCACTATAGCTGGGATGGTTGTGGGATTACTGCTGGAACTTTTTGCTGAAATAGACCTGCATGGTCAGTGCAGGGCACAGATGCTATGTGGCTAGCACAGGGCACTCTTAGTCCTGATCCCTTCTATGACTCTGGCCAGTAGGGATTTAGATCTCCTGCACTCTTCAATATGGAAGCCACAAGTCACACATGGGTTTTTAAGTTTAATTTAGTATTTAAATTAAAAAGTTCCTCAGTTGTACCACCTCCATTTCAAAGTGTTCAATAGCTACATGTGGCCAAGTTATATTAGTGTACCTATAGTGCATATTAGTGTAGTTAAAATGCATTTCCATCATTGCACAAAGTTCTATTGGGTAGCACTGTAAATCCTTTCCCACAGAATTGGCCCTGCACCTGGTTTGCCTGCCTCTTTCTCCACATCTTCCTTAATATATATCCTCAATCCTAGGAAAAACATGGCCATTGTTTACTCATGGCTCTACTTCCCACTAGATGTGGTTTGTTGGACAATTTTACCCTGTCTCTTCACCTGTAATACAGACATAATCCACGTAATGCATAACTAAGAATATATAAAGTATCTAGTACATAATGAATTTGTCTCCTGACCATCCCTTGGGTACAGCTAAGACAGAAAAGGCATTCCATTCCTCATCTAGACTTATGGAGGGGGGGAGAAGGGGGGGAGAAGAGTGGTCTGCAGAGTGTTTGGGATCTGCAAACAGTACTCCAAACAGGTAGCACCCAGGATCCAAGGTATAGCCCCTCTAGTTTACTTAAAAAAATAAATAAATTAAGCGTGGGGGGTGGGGGGGAGAGACACAGGCCCTGAAGATCCAAAAAGCCTGGAGGTCGGGGCACCAGGGAAAGGAAGGGAACTACATTTATGTTTTGGTGGGGGAGGTGTGTGTGGTAAGGGGGGGGGGGGGGGTTACTGACAGTCTTATTTTCCTCACGAGGGGTTTTGAGAGTCAGAAGCAAGGACTCGTTCCGCTTTTTCTGGGTCCCCGAACGTGGCAAAAAGCCACCCTTTGCAGCGCCAGGCGCCGTGCCTCACTTTCTCCATTTGCGGACTCCAGTTCCCAAGATGCAGAGCAGCGGCCAATCTCCTGGCTCTTCTTCTGTCCCCCCCCACCCCCTCCTAGGAAAGATCGCTTCTGGTTAATGCAATGGGGCGGTTGGAGTTTCGGGGGACCTAGAACTCCACGGGAACGGAATTAGAAAGTGACAGAAGTCCTAGCTTCCCGATCCGGGCAGCGAAGGAGGCAGTCCCGGGGCCCGGGCGCCGAGGAGGGGGGCTTCATTCCCACGTGTCTCCCCGGCTGCCGCCCGGCGCCGTCGGGGTTAACGCGCGGCGGAGGGATCCCGCGGAGTGTGCGTAGAACTGCAGAGTCACAGCCTTTCCTCCCGACAGGGCCGTATCCCTCCGCTGCTCCGCTCCAACACAAAATAGGGCCAATCTTCTCCTTTCTCCCCTTCCCGAGTGGGGTCCCCCAGGCACAAGGGCCCCCCCTAGGTCTTGCGCCGGAGGCTTCCGGAATCTCCACGACCGCTGCCGAGACCTCGGGCCGGGAAATAGCCCCATCGCAGGAACCACCCTACCGGCCGAGCAGGAGGCGGAGGGGGGGAGGCGGAGCGGCGCCGCGCTGCACTACTTTCCTCTCCGGTTGCAAATGGCTGCCTCGTTCCCCACTTTCCGCTCAGTTTCCTGACCCCCCGGCGCCGGGAGCCGGGGTTGGGCCGTACACCTCTAGGCCCCCCGCGACCACAGCCAGCCGGGGGTCGAGGGAGTGTCGCCGAGATCAGAGCCGGCCAGGCCGGGGGCGGGGCAGCTCCGGAGGCCCGAGGGGAAGGGAGGCGAGCGCAGGGCCTGGAGCGGCCGGTGGAGAGCGGGCAGAGGGCTCGCACCGCCCGCCCCTTCCTCTTCCTCGCCCACCTACCCTCCTCCCTTCCCCGGGGGGGAGCCGAGGGTGGGGGGCTCGGAGCCGCCGAGGACAAGCGCTCGGGGTCGCTGGGTGTGTGTCAGGTCCAGCCCCGCGGCCCCGCCGGCCCCGCGTCGCCGTAGCTCGCGCGGCCCCGGGGCGCCGGCCCGGGCGGCGGGGAGAGGGGCTCCGGGCTCCGGCGAGGGGCTCCCGTGCCCTCCGGGCCGGCGCGGGGCGGCGCGGCGCTCCTTCCGGGCCGCTGGGGAGGCGCCTCGACGTTCCATCTGGAGAGCCTCGACGTCCAGCCCGAGCCCGGCGCCGGCGGCCGGGGCGCTGGCCCGGCCCGAGGACTGAGAGGCCGCCCGACGCCGCGGATGCGGAGCCTGCGCCCCCGAGATCAAAGCCGCCGCCGGTGCTCTCTTTGTGTCCGCTCGGGATTCGCCGCCCTCGGGCTGTCCATGGAAACCTAAACTGCTGGGACCTGAAGCACAGAACCGGTCTTTGGCTTCTTGCTTTTTTTTTTTTTTTTTTTTTTTGCTTTTTTTTTTTTTTTTCTTTTTTGGAGGGGAGGGTGGCCACTCCGACCTGGATTTACCGTTCTTGGCCACCCTAGGCCCCCCCGTGCGGGGGGCGGCTGTGATCGCTCTGGCGGTTGGAGGTCGGGGAGCGGCCCGGGCTCTGGCCATGTTCTCGGATGAGGATTTCTGGATCGCCCTGTGAAGAGGTGAGTGAAGTCCGTCCGGCCGAGGCCCAGAAAGGGTTGGACTGGGGGCACGGCCAGATGGACTGTCTTGGCCGGAGCTGGCCTTTAGGTTGGAGGAAGGGGTGCCAGGGCCGAGGAGGGTTCTTTTTGGCAGGGTCTGTCAAGGGAACCTGAGCCAGTGGCTGAGGCAGAACTGAGTGAGGCCTGGTGTCTTGGGGTGTGCCTCGTTCAAGACTGGGGCGTTCAGGGAACCACGGGAGTTTTAGAAAAACCTGGCCAGATCGCCTCACTGCCTGTTTATTTTTGTGTTGGGGGAGCTCGACTAAAGTAGGACCCAGGCCCCGATGCCAGCACCAAACCTCATCAACTACTGCTTCTCCCTTAGGGTTCCCTGTGGGCCTAGGGAACAGAATAACTTGGGAGGGTGGGGAGGGTGCCACTGCCGTCAGACTTACTGCCAGGCTGGACTTTAAGGTTGTTCTTGCCCATCGGGGTACTCGGAGCAGTCTCTGGGAGACTCAAGGAAGCCTAGATCCTTCACCAGGCCTTATTTGACTGTGGACCGGGGAAGAGTGTGTGGAAACTGACTAGTGTGTTGAAGGGGGTGGCTGGTGCAAGAAGGAGGTGGGGCTGGGGGCAGTCTGGCCTTGCTGGTCAACTTTAAAGTACCCCTGCCTGGCAAAGTGACCGCAGCGAGGCCTAGTGCTGTCTTAGCCTGGTTTGCCTCCCCTCCTCTCAGGATGGACATAATCTCTAGAGGATTATGGAGGAGGCAGTGGAGATTTGTTCCCTGGGAATGTGGGCTGCAAAAAATGGCTTTTGTGCCCCGCTTTCTCAGGACCTGGTGTGGCGAGCTGGTTGCTCATAAGTCCTTGGCCAATCCTGCAGGCCCAGGCCAGCCTCTCCAACCCTTTTTGATCAGGGAATGTTAACTGGCCCTCTGCTCCTGTCACAATCCTACAGAATAGAGGGGTGTATCTCTTTGGAGGAGAAATGCTCTGCAGAGCTGTTTCTGCAGAAGCTAGTGTTTCCAAACCTGTCCGAAGGTACTGAGAAGAAGGGGTGTACATGTGAGTGCAGGAAGAGTGCAGCATGAGCCTCATGCCTCTGGCCCTGGGCTGGGACAGCCCTTCTCACAGCTGTCATGCTGCCCAGCAGGGATTTGGCTGGTGTGTTTTACTCCTTCATTCCACCCCCTGAAACATACATCCTGGGCTAGATCTCTTTGAGCCTGATCTTGGGAAAGAGAAAATAGGGATTTTTGCCCTTGAAAGATTTCTGGATATTAACCCCAAGGTGGGAAGTGGCACAGGGGTGGTAGAGTGAGGTTAGCTGTCACCCATGCTCTCTGCCCCTGCCTCCTGTTGTCTGTCCTCAATGAACTTCCTTAGGAGGGGCCTCTCCCTGTTAGCTGTGGATTACCCCAGGATGACCCAGGGGCTGTCTAGAGCAGAGGTCGCCAACCGGTGGTCAGCGGACCACTGGTGGTTCGTGTGATGTCCGAAAGCTTGGCGACCGCTGGTCTAGAGGGTCTACAGGACTAGTGTTGCTATTTGGATTCTTCCTAGAGGGTCACCCCAAAATGAGGGTGGGGAGAGGTGTGGTTTGATTCTCAGGTTGGGAACCAGGAAGTCCTGAGTCCTACAGAAGTTGTTCACTCAAGAGCCCGCTTCAGCCTTTCACCCCTCCAAGCCTCCATTTCCCCCTTGGCTGGGAAAATGGAGTTAAAGCTATTGCTCTGGGTTAGAGGCAGAGAGGAAAGTGTGCCACCCTGCCTTCTTCCTTGCTGTTTTGGGCTTCGTAGACCTAGGACTAAGGGGAGCCACAGTTTTACTCCTTAGATCTGTACTTAAGGGGGAACTCTAGTTACCTGGAGGAAGCCTAGCCAGGCATTAGCTCATTTAAAAAAACCCTTGATGTATATATGTGTGTGTATGGTTTCTGGCTGTGAATGATGGGACAGGGAACCTGTGGTATTTATTTGTTTAGATGTTCAGGGGCCTGACACTGGGACTCAGCATTGGGGTGCAGGTGCCAGGCTGCAGGGGTAAGGAAATGGGGCTTAGGTTTCTTGGAGGTATGGTATGGTATGGTATAGTATATAGATATAGTATAGCTTGGAGAACATTCTCTTCACTTTGGATCTCTCATCTTCCGTGACTCCATGAGTAAGGCTGTGGTTTTGGAGGATGTTGGTACTCTGTCTCCCAAGGCTGGATGCTGGTGGTTTCTGTACCTCCTCAGGCTTACCAGCTTGAGAGGGCTGTGCTCCGAGGAGGGCAGAGGAATTTGTCCCTCTGGCCTTGTGTGAAGCAGTCTTCCTCCCACCCACTGTATTATCACTGTTGCTTTTTATTTGTGACTCCTTGGACTTAACTTTAAGAGCAGAGCAGGTGGAAGATCTTTGGGGGCATACAGTAAAAATCACATATTTAGGAAACTTTGGAGCTTTCTGGGTGTGTTCAAGCCTTGAAAGACTGAACAGGAAGAGGGGCCTGGCTGGTGCCCTGAACTCCAGCCCCCACTCCTCATAGGTGGCTTCTAAGGGCCCCTTGAAGGTGCAGAGCAGCTTTTCTTGGGCCTGCCAGATAACCACCTTGCTTTCCTTTCAGGTGTGGCTGTATGGTAGGTTTTGGAAAGAGATGATGTGGGAATGGAGGGAACAGGCATCAAATGATACTTCACTTTTCTAATCTAGTAGGTTCTGATAGTTTTTGGGGAATAAAATAAAATTTCCTGTGACATGTCACAGAGGCTCATTATTATCTCTGGAAGTGGAGTGTGAGTTCAGGGAACGAAGACTAATATTGTGGTTCTCAAGTAATTGATTTATTGATCCTGGGCACCTTTGAGGGTTTCCCCTGTCTCATCTGCCCCAGTCACTCAACCCCAAGTGGCTGACAAGGTTATTTGGTAGTTGGTTTGAGAAGAGGGGCTTATCCTTGCTAAGGTTTGTAAGTGGCCCCTCTGGTTAAACAGAAGGAGTGAAAAAGGCAAGAGATAAACTTTTCAAATTTTATTTAGAGTTCTGTTTTAGGGATTCTCCCCGCCCTCCTCCTTCTCTGGGAATACTATACTTTTCTTTCTCTGCTAAGCCCTTACCTTAGATACCACTAATAGCTGCTGGCACCCATCCCTTTCTTCCTTCTGTAGGAACCCTTTTTCTATCTCACTCTGTAACTTTTTTTTATTATTATTTCTTTTTTGGTCTGTGTTTAGTTCTCGCTGAGGTTTAGGAAAATATGCCAAAAGATGTGAGTCTCAATATTCTTACATATAACTTTAGTGTTTGTTTCATTTGGCTCTGGTATAGGCAGGCATATTTTAGAAGAGGGGACCGTTACTCCACACCCCCATAGTGCGTGTGGAAACCCTGGTTGACAGAAGAGGAAGGAAGCTACTCTGCTGGGCTGTGTCCTGTCCTGTTTAGAACTCCTCCAAGTGGCAGTGTGCTTCCTGAGACTACAACTCCCAGCATGCCTAGCTTCAGGCTTGGCTACACATGCTCAGTGACTCTTAAGGCCCACTTCTGTTAACTACTAGGGATATCTTAGGAGGAAGGGCAGTTGGCGTTGCTAAGGGCAACGACCTGAGGACTTCAGGCTGGGTGAGATCCTGAGTTCAGTTGCTGCAGGGGCCAGGCCTGAGCTGGATTTGGCTAGGCAATGGGTAGAAATTGGGGAGTTTCTTATGTTGTGATTGGGATGTCCTGGTTGGAACCAGTGGAGGTTGGGGAAACCTATCCATACCTGGGCTTTAGTTTCAGTAACATGTTCTACATCCTGCAAGACCCCAGACTCCGTCTCTGGGAGAGGGATTTCAGCTGTACTCAGACTTCTTGGGTTATGATTACCCATTGGTTGGCACTGCCAGACCTCTAGGATGGTAGCTGACTTGAGACCTTGGGGAAAAAGATAGGGATAGGATCCACCAGAAGCCCAGAACTCAGATGTGGGGCAAAGGGCAATACTAGATGTAGACTGAATGTGCTTCTAGTTGGATGCTATTGCCCTGGGAACTCTTAGGAGTAAGGAAGTGAGAAAGGGGAGGGGATCCTCTGAGAATCCAGAGTTGGAGAAGAGGGTCAGTGTTATCTGGGGAGGAAGTAGGCAGTGGGCTAGGCAGAACTTTTTTGTCATTAGTACAGTAGGTATGGCTTTGTTCTGATTTCTGTAAGATTTAGATACCATTAGCTGCATTCCTCCTAGGATTATGGGTAAAGTGTTTAGTGGAGCATATAGACATTGTTTTTGGCTTTGACAGGTCTCCCCGAGAGGGCCCTGCCCAGTCGGAGAGAGGGATGGATAGCCAGAAGCCGCCTGGTGAGGATAAAGATTCAGAACCGGCAGGTGAGTAGGGCAAATTTTGGGTTTACTGACAGCTTTCTGCTCATCTCAGACAACCTTAAATTTCTAGTCCTGGCACATGGACAGGAGCTAAGTGTGTCTAATAGATAGGTAATTGCAGGACTTTGTTCTTTGGGACAAAAGTCAAAATGCCCTCAGTGTGATCCACCAACGGTTTTAGATAATCTCATAGATGTGGTGAGTAGACTAGTATTAAATAGTGGATGATGGCTGATGTACGCTTCTCTGTTCTTCATTCAGCTGATGGACATGCAGCCTCTGAGGAGTCAGGCGCCACTGAGGCAGACCTTCCCAACCCACATGTGGTGGAGGTATCTGTGCCCACTTCTGGGGGTCTCAGGCCTCAGGAACCTCCCCAGGACCGCAGGTAACTAGTTTGGGGAAATGAGGACTTTAGGGTACAAAAGGGTTTGATTTGAGATTCTGGGGCGTTCAGGAGGAATATTTAGGAAAATATGAGTGTTTGGGAAGCACGGGCATGTTAAATTGTGGGGTTGTGGTGGGGAGAGGGGGGATGACTCTGGGCAGGGGCCCGGCATTGTGCTGATGCTTGTATGTCCACAGTGGGGGTCCACTGCGGCGTTGTGCTCTCTGTAACTGCGGGGAGCCCAGTCTGCATGGGCAGCGGGAGCTACGGCGCTTTGAGTTGCCATTTGACTGGCCCCGGTGTCCAGTGGTGTCTCCTGGGGGGAGCTCAGGGCACAATGAGACAGCACTGCCCAGTGAGGACCTATCACAGATTGGTTTCCCTGAGGGCCTGACACCTGCCCACCTAGGAGAACCTGGAGGTAAGTAACTGACCTGGGCAGGAAGGAGGGTAGGGGCTGGGTGGTCCAAAGCCAGCCATCACCTTTTTGTTAATTCGTTCCTTTCTGTTTGCCTTATTCCACTTATACAGGGTCCTGCTGGGCTCACCATTGGTGTGCTGTGTGGTCGGCCGGTGTATGGGGGAAGGGGGGCCCAGAACTATGTGGTGTGGACAAGGCCATCTTCTCAGGGATCTCACAGGTGGGGCTGGGGCCAGGGGATTGCATAGGTAAAGGGCAGGGTGGACAGGGCTATTGGGCTTCTGAGAGTCAGTGTAGAATTTAGAAGGGCAGTGGGCATACCAGGGCAGAGCTAGTGCCTGATCTAGCTCTGGAGTGAGCTGACTGGCACTGAGGCTTTGTTTCTACCCTGGCAGCACTGCTCCCACTGCACCAGGCTTGGTGCCTCCATCCCTTGTCGCTCACCTGGATGTCCACGGCTTTACCACTTCCCCTGTGCGACGGCCAGCGGTTCCTTCTTATCCATGAAAACACTGCAGCTGCTATGCCCGGAGCACAGTGAGGGTGCCGCGCATCTGGGTGAGAAGTCCTGGCCCTTGTACACCAGGCAGTGAGGGGCCAGGAGTGCCGGGGGTTTGTACTTTGCAGAGCACTCATCAAAGATGGTAATTTTATACTGTCAGCCTGCCTCATTAAAATAGGTGTGAACTTTGAGAGTGCAGGGCTTTGCCTGTCTTGTTTACTATGATGTCTGCAATGCCTAGAACAATGCCTAGCATATATATATTAGGCAGACACTTAGTAACTATATATTTTTTCATTCTGGTCCATGGAATGCCTGTTATGTAGACAGCACTGTTCTGAGTCCTGCAAGGAATCCATATCTGACCTGTGTTCTCTGTCCCTTTTGACTGTAGAGGAGGCTCGTTGTGCAGTGTGTGAGGGACCGGGGGAACTGTGTGACCTGTTCTTCTGTACCAGTTGTGGGCATCACTATCATGGGGCCTGCCTGGACACTGCTCTGACTGCCCGCAAGCGTGCTGGCTGGCAGTGCCCTGAATGCAAAGTGTGCCAAGCCTGCAGGTAAGAATGGGAGGGCAGAGGAAAGCCTTAGGCAAAGCACAGTTTATGGTTAAAAACAAGGGCAAGGAAGGATCCTATAATGTGCCTTTTCTCTGCAGGAAACCTGGGAATGATTCTAAGATGTTGGTCTGTGAGACGTGTGACAAAGGATACCACACCTTCTGCCTAAAACCACCTATGGAAGAACTGCCTGCTCACTCTTGGAAGTGCAAGGTGAGGGTCCTTGATCTTGCCTTACTCTAATAATTCTGCCTCTTAAAACATCCAGAGTTTCTCTGTTGTGACAAGTCCCATGCTCCCCTCTAGTCTCTGCCGTCTGACTGATGCCTGTTTTGCCTTCTCCTTTCTCCTAGGCATGCCGGGTATGCCGGTCCTGTGGGGCAGGCTCAGCAGAGCTGAATCCCAACTCTGAGTGGTTCGAGAACTACTCACTCTGTTACCGCTGTCACAAAACCCAGGGAGGACAGCCTATCAGTTCTGATGCTGAGCAGCGTTCTGCTGTCTGTAGTAGGTAAGTAGTGTGGACTGAGAGATTGGGCTGTGGGATGGGAAGTGCTGAGATTGGCAGAGGGAGCCCTAAGGTGGGCAGTACAATCCATAGCATTCATGCCTTACCCCAGTGCACTCTCTAGGAGTTGATAGCTGACGAGAGCCACAATGCCTACTCCCCTGTACCTCTGCAGATTCTCACCCCCAGAGCCTGGCGATACCCCCACTGATGAGCCCGATGCTCTGTACGTTGCATGCCAAGGGCAGCCAAAGGGTGGGCACGTGACCTCTATGCAACCCAAGGAACCGGGGCCCCTGCAATGTGAAGCCAAACCACTAGGTGAGTAGGGTTTGAGGGTCCATGAAAGTTACCCCCTTCTGTTCTGTGGTAAGGAACAGTTTCTGCTCTGCCTTAGACTTTGCACTTTTGGTGGAGTGGATTTGAGCTAGAATGTTATATCTGCAGGGAGAGCAGGGGCCCAACTTGAGCCACAGTTGGAGGTCCCCCTAAATGAGGAGATGCCACTGCTGCCCCCACCTGAGGAGTCGCCCCTGTCCCCACCACCTGAGGAATCACCCTCATCCCCGCCGCCTGAGGCATCTCGTCTATCCCCGCCGCCGGAGGAATCGCCCCTCTCTCCACCGCCTGAGGAGTCTCCTCTGTCTCCCCCGCCTGAATCATCACCTTTTTCTCCACTGGAAGAGTCACCCTTTTCTCCACCAGGGGAGTCACCCCCACCTCCTCCACTTGAGACACCCCTGTCCCCACCACCTGAAGCATCACCCCTGAACCCACCATTTGAGGAGTCTCCCCTGTCCCCACCACCCGAGGAATTACCCACTTCTCCACCACCTGAAGCATCTCGCCTGTCTCCTCCACCTGAGGAGTCACCCATGTCTCCTCCACCTGAGGAGTCACCCATGTCTCCTCCACCTGAGGCATCGCGGATGTTCCCACCATTTGAAGAATCACCCCTGTCCCCCCCACCAGAGGAGTCTCCCCTCTCCCCCCCACCTGAGGCTTCACGCCTTTCCCCACCACCTGAGGAGTCACCCATGTCCCCCCCACCTGAGGATTCACCCATGTCCCCCCCACCTGAGGTATCATGCCTATCTCTCCTGCCTGAAGTGTCACGCCTGTCCCCTCCGCCTGAGGAGTCTCCCCTGTCTCCACCACCTGAGGAGTCTCCCACATCCCCACCACCTGAGGCGTCACGTGTATCCCCACCACCTGAGGATTCACCCACGTCCCCCCCACCTGAAGGCTCCCCTGCGTCTCCGCCTCCGGAGGACTTGCTCAAGTCCCTACCACCGGAGGAGTCACCCCTGTCGCCATTGCCTGAGGAGCTGCAATTCTGCCCCCGACTTGAACCGCGCCTGTCCCCCAAGCCTGAGGAGCCTCGCCTGTCCCCCAAGCCTGAGGAGCCTCGCCTGTCCCCCAAACCTGAGGAGCCGCGCCTGTCCCCCCATCCTGAGGAGCCGCGCCTGTCCCCCAAACCTGAGGAGCCTCGCCTTTCCCTCCAGCCTGAGGAGCCTCGCCTGTCCCCCAAACCTGAGGAGCCTCGCCTTTCCCCCCATCCTGAGGAGCCGCGCCTGTCCCCCAAACCTGAGGAGCTGCGCCTATCCCCCAAATCTGAGGAGCTGAGTCTGTCCCCCAAACCTGAGGAGCTAAGTCTGTCCCCCAAACCTGAGGAGCTGAATCTGTCCCCCAAACCTGAGGAGCTGAGTCTGTCCCCCAAACCCGAGGAGCCGCACCTGTCCCCCCATCCTGAGGAGCCGCACCTGTCCCCCCATCCTGAGGAGCCGCACCTGACCCCCAAACCTGAGGAGCTGCACCTGTCCCCCAAGCCTGAGGAGCCTCGCCTGTCCCCCCAGCCTGAGCAGCCTCGCCTGTCCCCCCAGCCTGAGGAGCTGCACCTGTCCCCCAAGCCTGAGGAGCCTCGCCTGTCCCCCCAGCCTGAGCAGCCATGCCTGTCCCCCCAGCCTGAGGAGCCGCGCCTGTCCCCCCAGCCTGAGCAGCCGCGCCTGTCCCCGCAGCCTGAGCAGCTGTGCCTGTCCCCTCGCCCTGAGGAGCTGCGCCTGTCCCCCCAGCCTGAGGAGCTGCGCCTGTCCCCCAAACCTGAGGAGCCTCGCCTGTCCCCTTGCCCTGAGGTGCCGCGCCTGTCCACTCGGCCTGAGAACCCATACCTGTTGCTTGCAGCCGAGGAACTGCGTCTGCCCCCCCAGCCTGAGGAGCTGTGCCTAACACTTGGACCTGAGGAGCTGCACCTATCCCACCATTCGGAAGAACCACGCCTGTCCTCCCAGCCTGAGGAGCCACACCTGTTCCCCCCGCCTGAGGAGCCACAGCCATCTCCTGCGCCTGAGGAGTTGCGCCTGTCCCCTCGACCTGAGGAGCCTCATCTGTCCCCCCGGCCTGAGGAGCCGCATCTGTCCCCCCGGCCTGAGGAGCTACACCTGTCTCCCCACCCTAAGGAACCATGCCTGTCCCCTCAAACTGAAGAGCCCCTTAGGGAGCCAGGCCTATGCTCTGCACCTGAGGGATTGCCCTTATCCCCCTTGCTTGGAGAGCCGGCTCTGTCTGCGCCTGGGGAGCCACCTCTGACCCCTCTGCCTGAAGAGCTGCCGTTGTCCCCATCTAGGGAGCCATCCTTGTCACCTCAGCTGATGCCACCAGGTAAGGGAATGTTAGTACCCTCTTTCTCTGGGACAGTCTTGATTATTTATGGCACATCTAACCTAAGAGCCTCCCTTTTTCTCTTTCGTTCCAGATCCACTTCCTCCTCCGCTCTCACCCATTATCACAGCTGTGGCCCCACCAGCTCTCTCTCCTTTGGGGGTGTTAGAGTACCCCTTTGGTGCCAAAGGGGACAGTGACCCTGAGTCACCATTGGCTGCCCCCATCCTAGAGACACCCATTAGCCCTCCACCGGAAGCTAACTGCACTGACCCCGAGCCTGTGCCCCCTATGATCCTTCCCCCATCTCCAGGCTCCCCAATGGGACTGGCCTCTCCCATCCTGATGGAATCCCTTCCCTCTCAGTGTTCTCCACTCCTCCAGCACCCCCTACCTCCCCCAAACTCCCCTCCTTCCCAGTGCTCTCCTCCTGCTCTGCCACTGTCCATTCCCTCCCCACTGAGTCCCATAGAGAAGGCAATGGAGGTCTCACATGAGGCTGAGCCGCCTGAGATGGAGATTGAAAAAGCCCCAGAACCTGAATGCCCAGCCTTGGAGCCTAGCCCTACTAGTCCTCTCCCTTCCCCCATGGGAAACCTTTCCTGTCCTGCACCCAGCCCTGCCCCACCCCTGGAAGACTTCTCTGGCCTGGGGGAAGACACAGCCCCTCTGGAGGGGACTGACACTCCTGATTCCCAGCCAGAGGCTGGACAGACCCCTGGCAGTTTGGCTAGTGAACTTAAGGGTTCCCCTGTGCTCCTGGACCCCGAGGAGCTGGCCCCTGTGACCCCTATGGAGGTCTATGGCCCAGAGTGCAAGCAGACAGGGCAGGGCTCGCCCTGTGAAGAGCAAGAGGAGCCACATGCACCAGTGGCCCCTACCCCACCTGTTCTCATCAAATCCGACATCGTTAATGAGATCTCCAATCTGAGCCAGGGCGATGCCAGTGCCAGTTTTCCTGGCTCAGAGCCTCTGCTGGGCTCTCCTGACCCCGAGGGGGGCGGCTCCTTGTCTATGGAGTTGGGGGTATCTACAGATGTTAGTCCAGCTCGAGATGAAGGCTCCCTTCGGCTCTGTACTGACTCTCTGCCAGAGACTGATGACTCGCTACTGTGTGATAATGGGACAGCTGTCAGCGGAGGCAAAGCTGAAGGGGACAAGGCGAAGCGGCGCAGCTCCCCAGCTCGTTCCCGCATCAAACAGGTGAGGGGCTATCCAGTCACTGGATGTGGTCAGCTTCATGCTAATGATGTCAGAGGTACAATCCTGTGTCACTTATACCTTCCCACCTGGCTTACTGCATTCTAGATGGTCAGAGCTCCTTTAGTCCACTCTTATTTTATTAAGGAGAATATTAATACATAGAGTGGGAAGTGACTTTCCCAGCTTCATGGTTACTCAGTGATAGAATCAACTAGAGATTCAGGCCTTTAACACCAGTATTTTTGTCTTTGTACCACTTGGCCACTTTTCTTGGGAGAAGAGCTACCTACCTGTTGCTGTCTGAGAGTTAGCTTTTCCTTTGCCTTGCTGGGACTCCTGGCCTTCATTACCGGTTATGCTCTCATTAGTTTCTTCTCTTCCTTCCAAATCTGTGGGCCCAGCTCACTCGCCCTCAGCTTCTCCCTGTTGTTATCCACTTCCTTCCCTCAGGGTCGCAGCAGTAGTTTCCCAGGAAGGCGCCGGCCACGTGGAGGAGCACATGGAGGCCGAGGGAGAGGACGGGCCCGGCTAAAATCAACCACTTCTTCCATCGAGACTCTGGTAGTAAGGAGAGGCTTCCCACCCCCAAACATGCTTCAGCTGGCTTTCTCAAGATTAAACACCCTTTAATCCTGTCAGTCCCCTGCACGCTCGCCTGTCTGCCTGCTAGCCTAGGGCCTGTCCGGCTCTGTCTACTCCTTCTGTCCACTTGGTCCCCTGGCTTCTCTGAAATCTCTGCCTTTGGGCTGAGGCCCAGTTTGGGAGCTGGGGTGTTCTTCTGCTTCTTAGTCTGACTTCTGGCCTTCATTTAGCCAGGGGTTCATACCTCCTTCCCCCAGCACCAAAGAGGAAAGCAGCTTAGTTGGCGCAGATTTAGCTGCCTCACATTCCACAACTCTCTGCCTATAAGGTTGCTGATATCGATAGCTCTCCCAGCAAGGAGGAAGAAGATGATGATGACGACACCATGCAAAATACTGTGGTTCTTTTCTCCAATACAGACAAGTTTGTCCTAATGCAGGTACCATATGTGACTGGCAGACTCACATTGGGTGTATGTGTTTAGGTGGGAGAGCAAATGCAGAAAACCAAAGACCTTCTCTACCCAGCTAATCAGAAAACAGTGAATTGGATTCACACTGTTCATTTGTTTTTCTATCCATCAGATTTCTCTTGAGTATCACCTCTGAGCTTGGCACTGAACTAGGAGCTAGGGATATAACAGTGAAAAGGCAGAAATGATTTCTGTCCTGTTGAAGGGAGCTTATGTATGTTCTCAACTGAATAATCCCACAAAGCTGATAGAATACTGGCACATATGTTACTCTCTCAGCCTCACCAATATTTACACATATTTTCTTCCATTTGTTTCTTTTATCCATATCAGGCTATTTAAAAAAAACAAGTTTTTTGATTTTTAGAGAGAGATGTGAGAGAGAAACTTTGATTGCCTCCAGGGATCCAACCACAACCTAGGTATGTGCCCTGACTGGGAATCGAATTGGTGACCACTCAACTGCTGAGCCACACCAGCCAGGCAACACATCAAGCTAAGAAGGAACAGGGTCCCATGATGACTTTCAGTGTCCTGAGGCCAGGGGTTGGGCTGTTAGTTCCCTGACTTCTTCCCTTAGATTAGAGTTGTAGTTAGTTGCCAGGACTGAGTGGGAAAAGGAGACCTACCTAGCTGGACATTGGGTTTCTATGTATTTCCCCAGGACATGTGTGTAGTATGTGGCAGCTTTGGCCGGGGAGCAGAGGGCCACCTCCTTGCCTGCTCTCAGTGTTCGCAGTGCTATCACCCATACTGTGTCAACAGCAAGGTGAGTTCAGAGCCCAAGAGGCCTGGGTTGGAGAATGGGGTCACTTATTATCCTAGGCCCTCACACTACTTAAAGTGGCCATTGGTCATGAAAGTCATTCTTTCAGTCACCAGTGATTGTCAGACACATCCTGGGGGAAAATACTTTGGAATTGATAGTGGTCTTCATGGTAGACCATGAGTTGCTGGTATGATCCAGTCCATCACAGAAACTATGAGAACTTTACTAACAGAAAGCATGATATAGTCTGGAGATAAAATGTAAAGTGAAAATCATAAGCAAATGTCAACAAAGAGAAAGTAGTGTTTTTGACTCAAGCATAATTAGTCAGTTTGTTGTTCATTTAGTCAGTTTGATATTCATTTAGAACTTGTCCACTGCTAACATTAACTTGCATTAGTAGCAGATTTTAAATGTTCAAGAAAAATTAGAGAAATACAATCCTACCCATAATCTTGTTGGGGACTTGGCTAGTGAAAGGTTGCCAGTCCATGCATAATGAGGCAGTGGCCAGGAGAGGCTGTTCTCCAAACAGCAGAGGGTCCCTGGGAGCCTAAGTATAAATCACTACATATTTTTGAGGTGAGGGTGCTTTGCATATCCTCTCTTTGCTTAAATGGAGGTCTGGCCTAGGCACTGGGGTCCTCCAGCCCCACCCATATAAGTCCCATCCTCCCCTAAGAAGTCTGCCCTCTCCTCTCCATCATACCCTGAAGAATTGTCATCTTCTGTACCAGATCACCAAGGTGATGCTGTTAAAGGGCTGGCGTTGTGTGGAGTGCATCGTGTGTGAGGTATGCGGCCAGGCTTCAGACCCCTCACGCCTGCTGCTCTGTGATGACTGTGACATTAGCTACCACACCTACTGCCTGGACCCCCCACTGCTCACCGTGCCCAAAGGCGGCTGGAAGTGCAAGTGGTAAGGAGACCCAGGATCTTGAGAGGGGTCTGGGCCTGAGATGTCGGAGTGGATGTGATGTTGAACACATGACAGGTTGGGTTTAGAAGACCAGGCTAGGTCACGGGGTTCTCAGGGCGGGCACCTCTGGCTGCCTTAGGTGCTGAGGGTCTATCTTTCTGCTCCCACCAGGTGTGTGTCTTGTATGCAGTGTGGGGCCGCCTCCCCTGGCTTCCACTGTGAATGGCAGAACAGTTATACACACTGCGGGCCCTGTGCCAGCCTGGTGACCTGCCCTATCTGTCATGCCCCATATGTGGAAGAGGACCTTCTGATCCAGTGCCGCCATTGTGAACGGTGAGGGTGCTCCTTTCCCCTGGTTTGGCTCCTTCTTCCCTATCCTCAGTTTTGCGTTGTTTGGGTTTATCTCCTCATGTCTTCCGTCTTCCAGGTGGATGCATGCCGGCTGCGAGAGCCTCTTCACAGAGGATGATGTGGAGCAGGCAGCGGATGAGGGCTTTGACTGTGTCTCCTGCCAGCCTTACATAATTAAGCCTGCTGGTGAGTACCAGGTGCTGGGGCAGGAGAGGAGGAGTTAGAACTGGGGTGCCTTGCTTTGGGACAGGGCCTCAAACCGCCTTGGTTTGTCCTCTCCACAGCACCTGTTGCGCCTCCAGAGTTGGTGTCTATGAAGGTGAAAGAGCCAGGTGAAATTCTGAGTGCCGAAGCCAAGGAGAACTTACACACTGTCTAGTCCAGCTCCACTCCCCTAACTTTATCTCATTTTAAGAGGAGGAAACTAAGAGCCAGAGACATTGAGTAGCCTGCCCAAGGTCACCCACTAGGTTATTGACAATGTTATGACTACAACCAAGGCCTCTAGTTTCCCAGGCAGAGTTTCTTCCACCAGGAAACATGGCCTCTGTACTACCAGAGTGTCATCTCCCGAGAGCACAGGACACTGCTCTGTTTCCTCAATGGAGGGGCTGGAGCCATCTCCTCCATCATAATGTAGGTGTTGCTCCTGGCATCCGGGGCACTGTGTTCTGGCCTTCAGCTGGCACGGAGGGGCACTTCTAGGTCCAGACAGCTAGAGAATTCATATTTTAATTCATGGTGGACCTAGAGTTAATCATGAGCAAAGTCAGGCTTCTGCAGTAGCAGCCTGAATCCTCCTAGGACATTGATGGAGAATTAGAACTTTAGCTAGCAACCAGTAGTGACCGGTCCTCTCCACTTTTGTCCCAGCTGGGGACTTAGGCTGAAACTTAGGGTTCTGGTTTCCCTGGGGTCACATGCTCTTCCCCTTTGTGCAGAGCCCCAGTACTTTCGCTTCGAGGGTGTGTGGCTGACAGAAACTGGCATGGCTGTGCTGCGTAACCTTACCATGTCACCCCTACACAAGCGGCGCCAGCGGCGAGGACGACTTGGCCTCCCAGGTGAGGCTGGGCTGGAAGGTTCCGAGCCCTCAGATGCCCTTGGCCCTGATGACAAGAAGGATGGGGACCTAGACACCGAAGAGCTGCTCAAGGGTGAAGGTAAGGCTGGGGAATCTGAGTGCCAAAGAAGTGGGAGCTTGCCTGTGAGAGTTGGACATTGGGAAGGAGCAGCATTGTCACTCCTAGTCATTTTCAAGCCACTGATGGTCTTGTCCAATGGCTCTGGCAAGGCACTCAGCTCTCTGTTCTTGGGTGGCTGGATGACAAAGTTAAAAAAGGCCCACACCTCTGCTCTGCCTCCATCTCCTCTGTTCAAACACACAGGTGGTGTGGAGCACATGGAGTGTGAAATTAAACTGGAGGGCCCCATCAGCCCTGACATAGAGCCTGGCAAGGAGGAGACTGAGGAGAGCAAAAAACGCAAACGCAAACCCTATCGTCCTGGTGAGGCCCTGGGATGGGAAATGGGGTAGGGAGGGGTGGCTCACCGGTCCCTAGTTGCTTCTCAACTTCAGCTCTGCCTCTTCTTAGGCATTGGTGGTTTCATGGTGCGACAGCGGAAATCCCACACACGTGTGAAAAAGGGGCCTGCTGCACAGGCGGAGGTGTTGAGTGGGGATGGGCAGCCCGACGAGGGTGAGACTGGTGAGGGCTCCATTGGGGTCTGGGAGAAGGTGGGGGTCACAGGACCTATAGGGCACTGCCAGGGAGGCCTGGGGGGAGAGTTCACTCAAAGGGCTGAAAGGGTGGTGGGTCCGGTTGCTTTTGGGGGAGAGAGTATGCAAAAAGCATCCTCAGGCCAGCTTGGGAGCAGCATGCTCAGTGTCCCTAGAGAAGTTGACCCTTCCCCTCTGTTCCCAGTGATGCCTGCTGACCTGCCTGCAGAGGGCTCTGTGGAACAGAGCCCAGCAGATGCAGAAGAAAAGAAGAAGCAGCAGCGGCGAGGGCGTAAGAAGAGCAAACTAGAGGACATGTTTCCTGCTTACCTGCAGGTGGGCCTTAGGCTCTGAAGGGTGCAGGGAATTATGCCCTTCAGAACATGAAGAAGCCCATTTCTCCATGCCTATTTCCACAGGAGGCCTTCTTTGGGAAGGAGCTGTTGGACTTGAGCCGGAAGGCCCTTTTTGCAGTTGGGGTGGGCCGGCCAAGCTTTGCACTAGGAACCCCAAAAGCCAAGGGGGACGGAAGCTCAGATAGGAAGGAGCTCCCCACCTTACAGAAAGGTCAGTCATGTGGTGGTAAGGTGGTCTGAAAGGACCCAACTTTTCTCTGTACTTAGCAGCTGGGAAATGTACTTGGTGGGGCATAGGCTGGTCTCTAGGTATTGAGGGTAGGCCAAGGGCCCTGGCCTGTGGAGCTGGAGACCCATTCTGGATGTCAGATGTGGGGCATCTCTGATTGAATGGCGACTATTGCTTATAGGAGATGATGGTACAGAGGTTGCAGATGAAGAATCCCGTGGTGCTGAGGGCAAGGCTGATACACCAGGTGAGGCCTGCTGGGAGGACTTCGTCCTAGCTTGGTTTTGCTTCTGTCAAACTTTTCCATGCCTTCTGTGGTTCAGTTTGGTCAGTGTGGTGCCTCCATACTGGCCTTGGCTGATGGGTTTCTCCTGCTCATTGAAGGACCTGAGGATGGGGGCGTAAAAGCATCCCCAGTGCCCAGTGACCCCGAGAAGCCAGGAACCCCGGGAGAAGGGATGCTTAGCTCTGACTTAGACAGGATTCCTACAGAAGGTGAGGCTGTGACCCGCTCTCTTCATGTATAAAGGGTCCTTTGTGGGAGAAGGAGAAGGTCCTGCTTGTGAGACTCTCATTTATACAGTGGGCGTCCTGGGCACCTGCCCCGGCCATGACTGTTTGTAGATGTGTGGTGTCTCCTCAACGCCCCAGTTTCCCTCAGCAGCATCCTCCATCAATCCCTTACAGAACTGCCCAAGATAGAATCCAAGGACCTGCAGCAGCTCTTCAAGGACGTTCTGGGTTCTGAGCGAGAGCAGCATCTGGGTTGTGGAACCCCTGGCCTAGATGGCAGCCGAACGCCGCTGCAGAGGCCCTTTCTTCAAGGTGATATGGGTGGTTTGAAGACTTGTGGGCAGGTACAGCCAAGCTTGCCCCCAGGATGGGCCACTTGCTCCCTTTCTCTGATCCTGTGCCTCTTGTAGGTGGACTCCCTTTGGGCAATCTCCCCTCCAGCAGCCCAATGGACTCCTATCCTGGCCTCTGCCAATCCCCATTCTTGGATTCTAGGTTGGTATCTATGCTTAATCGTCATGGGCCGTCCCCATAGTCCCTTCCCTACAGTTGGGCTCATGCCAAGGGAGGGAACCTTGGACCCCTGGGTGCTGCTGTAGTAATATTTCCCCCCTTTTTCTCTCCACCTCCTCCTTAGTGGCCCTTCTCTGTTGGGGCAGGGTATTGGCCTGGGGCCTCTGGGCAGTTTGTCTGGGTTGGGGTGTGGCATCCCTGCTCCCTGTGACTCTCTGCCCCTGCGCCCTAGGGAGCGCGGGGGCTTCTTTAGCCCGGAACCAGGTGAACCAGACAGTCCCTGGACAGGCTCAGGGGGCACCACGCCCTCCACCCCCACCACCCCCACCACGGAGGGTGAGGGCGACGGGCTTTCCTATAACCAGCGGAGTCTTCAGCGCTGGGAGAAGGATGAGGAGTTGGGCCAACTCTCCACTATCTCGCCTGTGCTGTATGCCAACATTAACTTTCCCAATCTCAAGCAAGATTACCCAGGTACCTGTGGGACGAGGGCAAGGGAGACCACAACCTGGTAACATGGCAGGTGCAGGGGTCAGCTGCCAAGTTTCCTAATACAATCCCTCTGCCCTACAGACTGGTCTAGCCGTTGCAAACAAATCATGAAGCTCTGGAGAAAAGTTCCAGCCGCTGATAAAGCCCCCTATCTGGTGAGATAGAAGGAAGCCTGAGTTAGCAGGACTGGGAACAGGGTTGGGGAGGTATTTGGGGGAATTTCAATTCTTTCCATTCCTCCCAAAGCATCTGGGCCAGAAGGGATCAGATTTTGGGTAGGGAATGTGAGTGATGTGAGGGATGGGTGTTGGGCATGAGGCTGAGCCCTAGGCCTAAGGCTGTGTCCTCCATCCTTTAGCAAAAGGCCAAAGATAACCGGGCGGCTCACCGCATCAACAAGGTGCAAAAGGTGAGTGGGGGCCCCACCAGGCTGCACCATTGACGTCTTGTAGCAGGTGGCCTCTGTGATGGTAGGGGGATGTAGGGCCTGTCCACAGCAGCCTGACTGCTCTGTGCCTGGTCTCCTCCGTAGCAGGCTGAGAGCCAGATCAACAAGCAGACCAAGGTGGGCGACATGGCCCGTAAGACTGACCGACCGGCCCTACATCTCCGCATTCCCCCCCAGCCAGGGGCACTGGGCAGTCCGCCCCCCGCTGCGGCCCCCACCATTTTCATTGGCAGCCCCACCACCGCCGCCGGCTTGTCTACCTCTGCGGACGGGTTCCTGAAGCCGCCGGCGGGCACGGTGCCTGGCCCCGACTCGCCCGGTGAGCTCTTCCTCAAGCTCCCACCCCAGGTGCCCGCCCAAGTGCCTTCGCAGGACCCCTTTGGACTGGCCCCTGCTTACGCTCTGGAGCCCCGCTTCCCCACAGCACCATCTACCTATCCTCCCTATCCTAGTCCGACTGGGGCTCCTGTGCAGCCCCCAACGCTGGGCACCTCATCTCGTCCTGGGACTGGCCAGCCAGGGGAATTCCACACTACCCCTCCTGGCACCCCCCGACACCAGCCCTCCACACCTGATCCCTTCCTCAAACCCCGCTGCCCCTCATTGGACAACCTGGCTGTGCCTGAGAGCCCAGGGGTAGGGAGTGGCAAGGCTTCCGAGCCCCTGCTGTCACCCCCGCCTTTTGGGGAGTCTCGGAAAGCTCTGGAGGTGAAGAAGGAAGAGCTTGGGGCATCCTCTCCTAGCTATGGGCCTCCAAACCTGGGCTTTGTTGACTCACCCTCAGGCCCCCACCTGGGCAGCCTGGAGTTAAAGGCACCTGATGTCTTCAAAGCCCCCCTAACCCCTCGGGCATCTCAGGTAGAGCCCCAGAGCCCGGGCTTGGGCCTAAGGCCCCAGGAGCCATCCCCTGCCCAGGCTTTGGCCCCTTCTCCCCCCAGCCACTCAGATATCTTTCGCCCTGGCCCCTACCCTGACCCTTATGCTCAGCCCCCATTGACCCCTCGACCCCAGCCCCCAGCCCCTGAGAGCTGCTGTGCCCTACCCCCTCGATCACTGCCTTCTGACCCTTTCTCCCGAGTGCCCGCTAGTCCCCAGTCCCAATCCAGCTCCCAGTCCCCATTGACACCCCGTCCTTTGTCTGCTGAGGCTTTTTGTCCATCTCCTGTGACCCCTCGCTTCCAATCCCCTGACCCTTATTCCCGCCCACCCTCTCGCCCTCAGTCCCGTGACCCATTTGCCCCATTGCATAAGCCACCCCGACCCCAGCCCCCTGAAGTTGCCTTTAAGTCTGGGCCTCTAGCCCACACTCCACTGGGGGCTGGGGGCTTTCCAGCAGCCCTGCCCTCAGGGCCAGCAGGTGAGCTCCATGCCAAGGTCCCAAGTGGGCAGCCCCCAAATTTCGCCCGATCCCCTGGGACGGGTGCATTTGTGGGCACGCCCTCTCCCATGCGTTTCACTTTCCCACAGGCAGTAGGGGAACCCTCTTCCCTAAAGCCCCCTGTCCCTCAGCCTGGTCTCCCTCCACCCCATGGGATCAACAGCCATTTTGGGCCTGGCCCTACTTTGGGCAAGCCTCAAAGCACAAACTACTCAGTAGCCACGGGGAACTTCCACCCATCGGGTAGTCCTCTGGGACCCAGCAGCGGGTCCACAGGAGAGGGCTATGGGCTGTCCCCGCTACGCCCCCAATCGGTCCTACCACCACCTGCACCCGATGGATCCCTCCCCTACCCGCCCCATGGAGCCTCACAGCGGGCTGGCATCACCTCTCCAGTCGATAAGCGAGAAGACCCAGGAGCTGGAATGGCCGGCTCTTTGGCAGCACCTGAACTTCCAGGTACCCAGGACCCAGGTATCTCCAGCCTCAGCCAGACAGAGCTGGAGAAGCAACGGCAGGTGAGTTGACATCGTGGAGCTGACTCCCCATACCTCCACTGTACCTGTGCCAGCCCTGTGGTTAGAGTACGATAGGCTTACCCTCTCCGTTCTCCGCACAGCGCCAGCGACTGCGAGAGCTGTTGATTCGGCAACAGATCCAGCGCAATACCCTGCGGCAGGAGAAGGAAACAGCGGCGGCAGCTGCAGGAGCAGTGGGGCCTCCAGGGAGCTGGGGTGCTGAGCCCAGCAACCCTGCCTTTGAGCAGCTGAGTCGAGGCCAGACCCCCTTTGTTGGGACCCAGGTAGGTAGGGTGGCAAGGTGTGGTGGGCCCAGGTTACTGAAGGTGGCCCCACCTTCACCTGTCTCTTCTCTCCTAGGATAAGAGTAGCCTTGGGCTGCCCTCAAACAAGCTGGGTGGCCCCATCCTAGGGCCAGGGGCTTTCCCAAGTGATGACCGACTCTCCCGGCCACCTCCACCAGCCACCCCTTCCTCTATGGATGTGAATAGCCGGTGAGGCTCCAGGGTTACTGGGGGCAAATCAAGGGAACAGATTTGACCACCTGTGTGTACTGCCTCTGACTTACCTGTCTCTGTAATTCTTCTCCAGTATCACTCTTCTCCCCTATTCCTTCCCCCTCGCCACATTAATTCTACCCTTCCCTACTGCCCTCGGCCCATGTTTGGTTCTTCTTCATCTTGATGTCTACTTCATCTTACTGACTACTGCATATTCTTCCAGGCAACTGGTGGGAGGCTCCCAAGCCTTCTATCAGCGAGCACCCTATCCTGGGTCCCTGCCCTTACAGCAGCAACAGCAACACCAACACCTCTGGCAGCAGCAGCAGCAAGCAACAGCAGCAAACTCCATGAGACTTGCCATGTCTACTCGCTTTTCATCAACTCCTGGGCCTGAACTTGGCCGCCAAAACCTAGGTTCCCCTATGGCAGGACTTCCCACTCGCCTGCCTGGCCCTGGTGAGCCAGTGCCTGGTCCAGCTGGTCCTGCCCAGTTCATTGAGTTGCGGCACAATGTACAAAAAGGACTAGGACCTGGGGGGCCTCCATTTCCTGGTCAGGGTCCCCCTCAGAGACCCCGTTTTTACCCTGTAAGTGAGGACTCCCACCGATTGGCTCCTGAAGGGCTTCGTGGTCTAACGGTATCAGGCCTTCCCCCACAGAAACCCTCAGCCCCGCTGGCCCCTGAACTGAACAACAGCCTCCATCCAGCACCCAACACCAAGGGTCCCACCCTGACCCCTGGCTTGGAGCTGGTCAGCCGGCCCCCGTCGAGCACTGAGCTTGGCCGCCCCCCTCCTCTGGCCTTGGAAGCTGGGAAATTACCCTGTGAAGACCCTGAGCTGGATGATGACTTTGATGCCCACAAGGCCCTGGAGGATGATGAGGAACTTGCTCACTTGGGCCTGGGTGTGGATGTGGCCAAGGGAGATGATGAGCTGGGCACCCTGGAAAACCTGGAGACCAACGATCCCCACCTAGATGATCTGCTCAATGGAGATGAGTTTGACCTACTGGCCTATACTGACCCTGAGTTGGACACTGGAGACAAGAAGGACATCTTCAATGAGCACCTGAGGCTGGTGGAGTCAGCCAATGAAAAGGCTGAGCGGGAGGCCCTGTTGCGGGGGGTGGAGCCAGGACCCCTGGGCCCTGAGGAACGCCCTCCCCCTGCCGCTGATGCTTCTGAGCCCCGTCTGGCACCAGTGCTCCCTGAGGTGAAGCCCAAGGTAGAGGAGGGTGGGCGCCACCCTTCCCCTTGCCAGTTCACCATCACCAACCCCAAGGTAGAGCCAGCGCCTGCCACCACTTCCCTAGGCCTGGGACTGAAGCCAGGACAGAGTGTGATGGGCAGCCGGGACACACGGATGGGCACAGGGCCCTTTTCCAGCAGTGGGCACACTGGAGCCACAGGAGGACCACCAGCTCACCTGCTGACCCCTAACCCACTGAGTGGCCCAGGAGGATCCTCTCTGCTGGAGAAGTTTGAATTAGAGAGTGGAGCCCTGACCTTGCCCGGTGGACATGCAGCATCTGGGGATGAGTTGGACAAGATGGAGAGTTCTCTGGTCGCCAGTGAGTTACCGCTACTTATTGAAGATCTGCTGGAGCATGAGAAGAAGGAGCTGCAGAAGAAACAGCAGCTCTCAGCACAGCTGCAGCCAGCCCAGCAGCAACAGCAGCATTCTCTACTGTCCACACCAGGCCCTGCCCCGACCATGTCTTTGCCACATGAGGGCTCTTCTTCCACTTTGGCTGGGCCCCAACAACAGCTTGCCCTGGGACTTGGAGGTGCACGACAGCCAGGCTTAGCCCAACCACTGATGCCCACCCAGCCACCAGCTCATGCCCTTCAGCAGCGCTTGGCCCCATCCATGGCCATGGTGTCCAACCAAGGGCATATGATGAGTGGGCAGCATGGGGGGCAGGCAGGCTTGGTGTCCCAGCAGAGTCCACAGCCAGTGCTGGCACAGAAGCCCATGGGAACCATTCCACCCTCCATGTGCATGAAACCCCAACAGCTGGCGATGCAGCAGCAGCTGGCTAACAGCTTCTTCCCGGATACAGGTAACCTCAGCTGGGAGCACTGGTTTAGCTACTCAGGGGTAGTCACTGTCATCAACAAATAGACACTGAGACTACAGACATAAGGTAATTCATAGTTAAGGGAGGTGGGACATAAATCTGAATAAATGTCATACTAGTACTGTAGGCAGAAGCATTGTAGCTTTTAAGAAGAGGGGAATACTGCCTGGCACCTAGCAGGCATTCAGATGTTTGAGAGAGGGAATGGGATGAATACATGAAGCCTGATTAGCAAAGGCTTTGTAGCTGTGGTAAGACCTAAGGATTAGGACTTGGAGAGAAGTGGTGCAAGAGAAAACAATCCAGGTAGATGAAAAGACTTGAGTACAGTTGACCCTGGAACAACAGGAACGATATTGGCAGTAGAGCCAATGGGGTGGGGTATATTTGGAGAATGAGGGAGTGGTTAGGTTGGAGTAGAATTTGTGTAGAGGGAAGCGAGTGGGTACTACCATAGACCTCAAATTGTAATAGCAGTTATTGAGTAATTACTATTTGCAATCAATGTACTGAGTGTTATACATTCATTATCTAATCATCACAACAAAGTCATTAAATAGATACTATTATTATCTTCGATTACAGAAAAGGAAAATGAGGAATGGAGGTTAAGTAACTTGCCCAAGATCACACAACTGACAGAGCTAGAGTTTGAGCTCTGGCCCTCTGATCCTCTTAACTGTGTTACTGCCTCAAAAGACCAGGGGAGGGATTTTGGTTAGTCCTTTAAAAAGTGGGGAGTCGGTGAACATTTACTGAGTAGTGGAGAAATATACAATGTGTATGGTTTTAGAAAGATTGAATTTTTTGGTGGTTGCTTATTTTTCTTTTTCTCTCCAATATTCAGGACAGGCAGGTTAGTGGGATACAGGTGATCCATGTCAGATCTACGGTAGCTCTGGCATCTAGGGCTTTGCCAGATTGGTTCTTGGGCTGCACTAATTGCTCTAAGAACATTACTTTTATTTATATATATATATATATATATATATATATATATATATATATATATATATATATATATATTTATTGATTTCAGAGAAGGAGAGAGAAATAGAAACATCAATGATGAGAGAGAATCATTGGCTACCTCCTGCACACTCCTTACTGGGGATTGAGCCTGCAACCTGGGCATGTGGCCTGATCAGGAATTGAATCGTGATCTCTTGGTTCATAGGTTGATGCTCAACCAATCAGCCATACTGGCCGGGCAAGAACACACTTTTGAATAATGCTTTCTAGATTAAAAAAAAAAAAAAAAAGGACAGTTAACCCTTGAAGAACATGAACTTAGGGGTGCTGACCCCCATGTAGTCAAATCTGTGTATAACTTTTGATTCCCAAAAAAACTTAACCACTAATAGCTTACTGTTGACTAGAAGCCTTACTGATAACATAATTAACACATATTTTGTATGTTTTATGTATTATATATTGTATTCATACAATGAAGTAAGCTAGAGAAAATGTTATTGAGAAAAAGCATGAGGAGAAAATACATTTACAGTATTTAATGAAAAAAATCTGCATATAATTAGAGCCTTCAGTTCAAATCTATGTTGTTCAAAGGTCACCTGTGTTCACATTCTTGTCATATGTGGTCTTCTCATAGCCACATGAGATGGCAGAAAAGGGAGTTGTGATCTCTACCAAATAGTAGAGTAAACTGAGGCTCGGAAAGGTGAAATAACATTGGTATATTGGTTTAACAGATATTTACTGAGTACCTTTTCCTAACACAAACAGGGCCACATGTCCTGTGAATAGTAGAGCTGAGTCATCTAGGCTGCCTGGCTCCTAGTCCATTGGTCTTTCCATCATGTAATGCCATTGTTTTGCTTGGCTTGATAGAAGTTAAAGTGTTGGGAGCAATAGCAGACATAGAATGGAGCATTGACACAAATGCCCAGCTCCCTTGGTTCTTCCCTCTCCAGACCTGGACAAATTTGCTGCAGAAGATATCATTGATCCCATTGCAAAGGCCAAGATGGTAGCATTGAAAGGCATCAAGAAGGTGATGGCTCAGGGTAGCATTGGAGTGGCACCTGGTATGAACAGGTAAGACTTGGGTGGCAGTTGGACCTTTTCTTTCCCAGTCCTTCCCCTCTCCTTCCTGATCTCCTTCCCTACTTGTTTCTCCTCTTTGCTTTTCATATTTCCCCATTACTAACACATCCTCTTTGCTTTGCTGAACTCTAGGCAGCAAGTGTCCTTGCTAGCCCAGAGGCTCTCAGGGGGGACTGGCAGTGATCTGCAGAACCACGTAGCAGCTGGGAGTGGCCAGGTAAGTGATCAGGTGGGAGTAGGAATTTGTGTCTCATGCTGTTGGGTCACCCTTCTTAGGGACTGGTATGGAAATATGACCCTTTAGCAGTGTCTCTCATTGCAGGAGAGGAATGCTGGTGACCCCTCCCAGGCTCGTCCCAATCCGCCTACTTTTGCCCAGGGAGTGATCAGTGAGTATGGGAATGGGGAGGAGCCTAAAAGAAAATGGCCTGAGGCATTTGAGGGAAGAGGAATTGGGATGACCATTCTATGGGTCCTGACACCAGCTTTCTTTTTCAGATGAGGCTGACCAGCGGCAGTATGAAGAGTGGCTGTTCCATACCCAACAGCTCCTACAGATGCAGCTGAAGGTACTAGAGGAACAGATTGGTGTGCACCGCAAATCCCGGAAGGCTCTGTGTGCCAAACAGCGTACTGCCAAAAAGGCTGGCCGGGAGTTCCCAGAGGCTGATGCTGAGAAGCTCAAGTTGGTTACGGAGCAGCAGAGCAAGATCCAGAAACAGTTGGATCAGGTGGGGAAATCAGGCTTCAGCTTAGCAACCAGGAACTGGGAAGAGGGTTGGCATGGTGGGCAGGCTTGAGGCTGACATCCCCAACCTTCCCATTAGGTCCGGAAGCAACAGAAGGAGCACACAAATCTCATGGCAGAATATCGGAATAAGCAGCAGCAGCAGCAGCAACAACAGCAGCAGCAGCAGCAGCAGCAACAGCAGCAGCAACAACACTCAGCGGTGCTGGCCCTTAGCCCTTCCCAGAGTCCTCGGCTACTCACCAAGCTCCCTGGTCAGCTGCTCCCTGGCCATGCGCTACAGCCACCACAGGGACCCCCTGGTGGGCAAGCTGCTGGACTTCGTCTGCCCCCAGGGGGCATGGCACTACCTGGACAGCCTGGTGGCCCCTTCCTCAACACAACCTTGGCCCAACAACAACAACAACAACAACATTCTGGCGGGGCTGGAGCCCTGGCTGGCCCCTCAGGGGGCTTTTTTCCTGGCAATCTTGCTCTTCGAGGCTTGGGACCTGATTCGAGGCTTTTGCAGGAAAGGCAGCTACAGCTACAGCAGCAACGCATGCAGCTTGCCCAGAAATTGCAACAGCAGCAGCAGCAGCAGCAGCACCTCCTAGGGCAGGTGGCAATCCAGCAGCAACAGCAGCAGGGACCTGGGATACAGGCAAACCAGGCTCATGGTCCCAAGCCCCAAGGGCTTCTGCCTTCCAGCGGCCATCAGGGTCTCTTGGTCCAGCAGCTGTCCCCTCAACCACCTCAGGGGCCCCAGGGCATGCTGGGCCCTGCCCAGGTGGCAGTGATGCAGCAGCAGCAACCACACCCTGGAGCTTTGGGCCCTCAGGGTCCTCACAGACAGGTGCTTCTGACGCAGTCCCGGGTGCCAAGTTCGCCTCAGCTGGCACCGCAAAGTCAGGGCCTTATGGGACATCGACTTGTCACAGCCCAGCAGCAGCAGCAACAGCAGCACCAACAGCAAGGACCCATGGCAGGGCTTTCTCATCTTCAGCAGGGTCTGATGCCACATAGTGGGCAGCCCAAGCTTAGCACTCAGCCAATGGCCTCCTTACAGCAACAGCAGCTACAGCAGCAGCAGCAACAGCAGCTACAGCTACAGCAGCAGCAGCAGCTACAGCAGCTACAACAACAACAGCAGCTACAACAGCAACAGCAGCTTCAACAGCAGCAGCAGCTTCAACAGCAGCAGCAGCTTCAACAGCAGCAGCAGCAGCTACAACAGCAGCAGCTTCAACAGCAGCAGCAGCTACAACAGCAGCAGCAGCTTCAGCAGCAGCAACAGCTACAACAGCAGCAGCAGCTTCAACAGCAGCAGCAGCAGCTTCAACAGCAGCAGCAGCTTCAACAGCAGCAGCAACAGCTACAACAGCAGCAGCAGCTACAACAGCAACAGCAGCAGCTACAACAGCAACAGCAGCTTCAGCAGCAGCAACAGCAGCTTCAGCAGCAGCAACAGCAGCAGATAGGCCTCTTAAACCAGAGTCGAACTTTACTGTCTCCTCAGCAACAGCAGCAGCAAGTGACTCTTGGTCCTGGAATGCCAGCCAAGCCTCTGCAACAACACTTTTCTAGCTCCGGAGCCTTGGGCCCAACCCTCCTCTTAACGGGCAAGGAACAAAGCATTGCAGAGACCACTCTTCCTCCAGAGGCTACTGAGGGGCCCTCCACACATCAGGGAGGTGTAGCAATGGGGACTGTACCTGAGGCAGTGCCCACTGAACCAGGGGAAGTAAAGCCCTCACTCTCTGGGGACTCCCAGCTCCTGCTTGTCCAACCCCAGGCCCAGCCTCAGCCCAACTCTGTGCCACTGCAGCCACCTCTGAGGCTCCAAGGACAGCAGCAGCAGCAAGTTAACTTGCTCCACACAGCAGGTGTGGGCAGCCATGGGCAATCAAACAGTGGATCATCTTCAGAGGCCTCTTCTGTGCCACACCTGCTGGCCCAATCCTCTGTTTCCTTAGGGGAGCAGCCTGGGCCCATAACTCAGAACCTTCTGGGCTCCCAACAGCACCATGGACTAGAGCGGCCCTTGCAAAATAATGCAGGGCCACAGTCTGCCAAACCAGGATCTGTTCCCCAGTCTGGGCAGGGCCTGCCTGGGGCTGGAGTCATGCCTACAGTGGGTCAGTTTCGAGCACAGCTCCAAGGAGTTTTGGCCAAAAACCCACAGTTGCGGCACTTGAGCCCTCAGCAGCAGCAGCAGCTGCAGACACTCCTCATGCAGCGGCAGCTACAGCAGAGTCAGTCCATACGCCAGGCCCCACCCTATCAGGAACCTGGGACCCAGCCCTCTCCCCTCCAGGGTCTCCTAGGCCGCCAGCCCCAACTTGGGGGCTTCCCTGGATCCCAGACTGGACCTATCCAGGAGCTAGGGGCAGGGCTTCGACCTCAGGGCCCACCCCGGCTCCCTGCCCCACAAGGAGCCTTATCAACTGGACCAGTCCTTGGTCCTGTTCATCCCACACCTCCACCATCTAGCCCACAAGAGCCAAAGAGACCTTCACAATTACCATCCCCTAGTTCCCAGCTCCCCTCTGAGGCCCAGCTCCCTCCCACACAGCCAGGGACTCCCAAACCCCAAGGGCTGCCCTTGGAGTTACCTCCTGGGAAGATCTCACCTGCTGCTGCCCAGCTTGCAGATACCTTATTTGGCAAGGGGCTGGGACCTTGGGATCCCCCAGACAACCCAGCAGAAGCCCAGAAGCCGGAACAGAGCAGCCTGGTACCTGGGCATCCAGAGCAGGTGAATGGGCAGGCGGTGCCCGAACCATCCTATCTCAGCATCAAGCAGGAGCCTCGGGAAGAGCCATGTGCCCTGGGAACACAGGTGGTGAAGAGGGAGGCAAATGGGGAGCCAATAGGGACACCAGGTACCGGCAACCACCTCCTGCTGGCAGGCCCCCGCTCAGAGGCCGGGCATCTGCTCTTGCAGAAGCTTCTACGTGCAAAGAATGTGCAACTCAGCACTGGGCGGGGGCCCGAGGGGCTGCGAACAGAGATCAACGGGCACATTGACAGCAAGTTGGCTGGGCTGGAGCAGAAACTACAGGGTACCCCCAGCAATAAGGAGGTGAGTACTCCAGGTAGAGTGGGGCCTGGAACGTGGGGCAGAGTGAGCAGGTCTTGGTCAAACAAGAGGTGAGGGCTCTGAGGAAGACAGCCACCTTCACTGTGGGTTTATCCGGCTTAGGATACAGCAGCCAGGAAACCTTTGACACCGAAGCCCAAGCGGGTACAGAAGGCAAGCGACAGGCTGGTGAGCTCCCGAAAGAAGCTGCGGAAGGAGGACGGGGTCAGGGCCAGCGAGGCCTTGCTGAAACAGCTAAAACAGGTGACTTCCAGGAGCCAGCCCCCTGGTCCCAACTCAGGATAAGGGGGCACCCTGGCCCCCAGCTATGCAGTGGCAGAGATGTACGTGCTGCAGGTTTCCAACCTTGTCATCTTGCCCCTCCTAGGAGCTGTCCCTGCTGCCCCTAACGGAGCCTACCATCACCGCCAATTTTAGCCTCTTTGCTCCCTTTGGCAGTACCTGCCCAATCAGTGGGCAGTGCCAGCTGAGGGGGACCTTTGGAAGTGGGGCACTGCCCACTGGCCCTGACTACTATTCCCAGCTGCTTACCAAGGTTAGAAAATGACAATGCCTTTTGGGGATGATGCGGTTTTTGGGGAGGTGGAGGTGGGAGTGCGATACTTGAGGAAGTTGCTGATATAGTGTGGGGCCAGGAGATTATGTCAGTCTCCCCCTGCCATCTTGCACACAACACCCCACCCCACCCCCAGAATAACCTGAGTAACCCGCCGACACCACCCTCGTCGCTGCCCCCCACCCCACCCCCATCGGTGCAGCAGAAGATGGTGAATGGCGTCACTCCATCTGAAGAGCTGGGGGAGCACCCCAAGGATGCTGCCTCTGCCCGGGATACTGAAGGAACATTGAGGGGTAAGTCAAGAGTAGAGTGGGCCTCTCCTCTAGAAGGATTTGGTGGCTGGTGTCCAAGCCAGTTTGTGTACCCTGTCAAACAGTTTGACATAGATGTATGTTTCACTGAGTGCACACAACCAGTACTTGAGCTAGAAAGGACCTCTTCAGGACTGGTTTGTTGGAGACAAGGATGGGCATCGGGAGTCTCGAACCAATCAGTGAGGGAAGTGGATGACAGAGTGTTAAAGAAACTTCTGTTTATAATGAACAGACAGCCTTGGTGGGTATAAACTATTGTCAGAGCTGGTTGTGATTCCTGGTTCCTGCTTTCTTTTAGCCATATTACTATAACCTAGTAACTTGATTGACTTGTATGAGCCTGAGTCTCCTCACTATAAAATAGATATTATAATACTTAATGGAGTGTTAAACTGATATAAATAAAAAGTGTACCTGACACATTGGAAATGCTCAAAATATAGTTTGTCTGCTCCAAGCTGGTAGATGGGTAGACAGTGGTCATGATAGCTAAGCTAGATGTTGTACTAGTTAGGCCTGAATTGTGGTGGAGAAAGCACCATCAGCTCTAGCCACCCTAGGTCTGACTTTTCTTTTCCCTACCTACCCCTCAGATACTTCAGAGGTGAAGAGTCTAGATCTGCTGGCCGCCTTGCCTACACCCCCTCACAATCAGACTGAGGATGTCAGGTGGGGATTGTGCCAGAAATGGGGGTGAGGAATGGAGTTAGGGATCTGGTTGTCTCATTTTCCCTTTGGCCAATAGTAGATTTTAAGTAAGGCTGTGATATCTACTAATCTCTAGATCTGGGAGTGGGGGTCTGCAGAGCTGTAGCAATAAATGTCTACTTTTGCCCACAGGATGGAGAGTGATGAGGACAGTGATTCTCCTGACAGCATTGTGCCAGCTTCATCCCCCGAGAGCATCCTGGGGGAGGAGGCACCTCGTTTCCCTCAGCTGGGCTCAGGCCAGTGGGAGCAGGAAGACCGGGCTCTTTCCCCTGTCATCCCCATCATTCCTCGGGCCAGCATTCCAGGTAGGGGCTGCCCTGAACATAGGCCAGGCCGGGCTGGGCTGGGGTGTCGGAACTGGGGCAGAGGGACAGCTGAGGCTAACACAGATTCCTCTTTCCCATTTAGTCTTCCCAGATACCAAACCTTACGGGGCTCTAGACCTGGAGGTCCCTGGAAAGCTGCCTGCCACAACTTGGGAAAAGGGCAAAGGAAGTGAGGTGTCGGTCATGCTGACAGTCTCTGCTGCTGCAGCCAAGGTGTGTCCTAGAGGCCTTAGAGGCCTAACGGGTGCTGATCAGAGGGCAGTCCCTGAGGCTTGTCTGGGTAAATTCGGTCCTTTAAAGCTATGTACGGTGAAAGCCTAGGCTAGTGGCTGTAGGATTAGAGGAAATGAAGCATGAGAGGTTCCTGCCTTCTGGGAGTTCACAGCCCTGTGGTAAAGATACACTCAACAAATACCGTATTTTCCCGCGTATAAGACGACCCCCCTAATTTTGCAGTTAAAACATAGGTTTAGGCCTATATTCACTGTATAAGACTACCCCCCACTTCAAAGAAAAAACTTACTTTGCCGTCAAGATCTGCAGGTAATTTTTGTGCAATTTTGGTCTTTTGCCCCCGATTTTCGGTTGACTTCTTTTCGTTTCAAAAGTCGTCTTATATGCCAGAAAATACGGGGTAAAGCGAGTGTTTATAATGTGACATATGATAAAAGCAGCACCTCACTATATTTCATGAAACGTTTTTTTTTGTGTGTTTTTTTTTTAAATATATTTTATTGATATTTTACAGAGAGGAAGGGAGAGAGATAGAGAGCTAGAAACGTCGATGAGAGAGAAACATCGACCAGCTGCCTCTTGCACACCTCCTACCGGGGATGTGCCCGCAACCAAGGTACATGCCCTTGACCGGAATCGAACCTGGGACCTTTCAGTCCGCAGACTGACGCTCTACCACTGAGCCAAACCAGTTTCGGCCGGTTTTTTGTTTTTTAATGTTCACAGGGTTTTGTTGTCAACCAAACAGGAATCCTTACTATAAGACTCCTCAGCTTCTCTAATTTGCTAATTATCATTAATCTCCCAAGTTATGGATATAATGTATATCATTTCCTAAACTTAGTTGACACAGGCCCCTTTGTGGAGCTCCTGCTAATGCCCACAGCAGTTTGGGAAAGGCCACCGTAAAACAAATATGTGAAAGAGTTAGATGGCACAGGGGTGGACTGACCAGCCGTTTGTGGGGCTGTGTTCTAGGTGTCATTGTTCCCACCGAGCTGGTGGTAGTGCTCACTGTTCACAACCTGCTGACAAGGCTCTCCCTTCCCCTCCCTGCTCTGACAGAACCTGAATGGTGTGATGGTGGCAGTGGCAGAGCTGTTAAGCATGAAGATCCCCAACTCCTATGAGGTGCTGTTCCCCGAGAGCCCTGCCCGGGCAGGCATTGAGCCTAAGAAGGGGGAAGCTGAGGGCCCTGGTGAGTGTGGCAGGAAAACACCTGGGCACCTAAGGGGAATGATTCTGGTGGGAGGCTCTGACCCCCTCCTTCCTGCAGGTGGGAAAGAAAAAGGTCTGGGAGGCAAGAGCCCAGAAGCTGGCCCTGACTGGCTGAAGCAATTTGATGCCATGTTGCCTGGCTATACTCTCAAGAGCCAGCTAGACATCTTGAGCCTCCTGAAACAGGTGGGTCTGGGTGAGGACAGAGATAGCAGAGAGGGTATACCACTTTTGGGAGAGGGGGATCTGGGTGGGAGAAGGGAGAGGGCTAGTTAAGTGAGGAGCTGGCACTAACCATACAGGATTCGTGCCCCCTCCCATAGGAGAGCCCTATCCCAGAGCCACCCACCCAACACAGCTACACCTACAATGTCTCCAATCTGGACGTTCGACAGCTCTCTGCCCCACCTCCTGAAGAACCCTCCCCACCCCCATCCCCCTTGGCACCCTCTCCTGCCAGCCCCCCTGCTGAACCCCTAGTCGAGCTCCCAGCTGAACCCTCAGTTGAGCCACCTGTCCCATCGCCTCTGCCCCTGGCCTCCTCCCCTGAGTCCACCCGGCCCAAGCCCCGAGCCCGGCCCCCTGATGAAGGTGAAGATTGCCGGCCCCCTCGGCTCAAGAAGTGGAAAGGGGTGCGCTGGAAGCGTCTGCGGCTGCTCCTGACCATCCAGAAGGGCAGTGGGCAGCAGGAGGATGAGCGGGAAGTGGCAGAGTTTATGGAACAACTTGGCACAGCCCTGCGACCTGACAAGGTGCCTCGAGACATGCGGCGCTGCTGCTTCTGTCACGAGGAGGGTGATGGGGCCACCGATGGGCCTGCCCGTTTGCTGAACCTGGACCTGGACCTGTGGGTGCACCTCAACTGTGCCCTGTGGTCCACAGAGGTCTATGAGACCCAGGGTGGGGCGCTGATGAATGTGGAAGTGGCCCTCCACCGAGGACTGCTAACCAAGTGCTCCTTGTGCCAGCGCACCGGTGCCACCAGCAGCTGCAATCGCATGCGTTGTCCCAACGTCTACCATTTTGCCTGCGCCATCCGCGCCAAGTGCATGTTCTTCAAGGACAAGACCATGCTGTGTCCAATGCATAAGATCAAAGGGCCCTGTGAGCAAGAGCTGAGCTCTTTTGCTGTCTTCCGGCGGGTCTACATTGAGCGGGATGAGGTGAAGCAAATCGCTAGCATCATCCAGCGGGGAGAGCGGCTGCACATGTTTCGGGTAGGGGGCCTTGTGTTCCATGCCATTGGACAGCTGCTCCCTCATCAGATGGCCGACTTCCACAGTGCCACTGCCCTTTATCCCGTTGGCTACGAAGCCACACGCATCTACTGGAGCCTTCGCACCAACAACCGCCGCTGCTGCTACCGCTGCTCTATTGGTGAGAACAACGGTCGGCCGGAGTTCATAATCAAAGTCATGGAGCAGGGCCTGGAGGACCTGGTCTTCACTGACGCCTCTCCCCAGGGTGAGCAGTGGGCTCTGGAAATGGTAATGTGGAGTTGGGCAAGTTTCTCCTGGAGTCATCTTTACAATGTGGAAAAGGGATCTGCAGGGTCCTTGTGAGTGATCTTCCGCACTCTACACCCTCTATTGTGCATAGGTGGAGGTCTCTCGAAAATCCCCAGAGAAAGTGTTTTAGCCTCTCTTACTCACCTTAAATTCCTTTGTAATTGAAGATGTTTTGCTTGTCTAACTTCATTCTGGCTTCTTTTCCTATCCTCAGTGGAACAAAAGAATACAGTTCTGAGACCTTACCATCTGGCTTACCCAACCTGATCCTAACCATGAGTTCCCTTTGGTTGCTTTTCTCTGGACAAAATTCTTTTGATCTTAGTTTTAGTGTTATGATAAAAATAACAATAAGAGCAGTTACCTTTTAGTGAACATGTACTATGTGCCACAAACTAAGCTAAGTGATTTATACAGGTTATTTTGTTCACACAACCTTCTGAGGTAAGTACTGTTATTATGCCCAGGTTTCCAAGAAACAATCTTAGACTTAAGTATTTGGATTAAGGTCCAATGGCTAGTACTAGAACCTGAACTCATCTTCCCAGTGCCAAAGCATGCCTGTGGTTCTGACTCTCGGCAAGTCCTGTGACCTGTGCTGGGTCTCCTGGACCTTGGATTCGTGTTTCTGGGTCACAAGGCACTCTAATGCCCTCTGAGTGGGAAGTGTGGCTTGTTGAAGGAGAGTGGCACTGGGAGGCCATGAGTGGGTCCTGAAGAACCACACAGCCCTGTGACAGGGAAGTAGCTCCAGATCAAGTTTAGGGTCAGGTTCACTGAGCAGAAGTTCCTTCTGAGGAACTTCACCAGATGGTGAGGGTTGCTCTCTTTCCTTGCCTCTTAGCTGTGTGGAATCGCATCATTGAGCCTGTGGCTGCCATGAGAAAAGAGGCCGACATGCTGAGGCTCTTCCCTGAGTACCTGAAAGGCGAGGAACTCTTTGGGCTGACGGTGCATGCTGTGTTGCGCATAGCTGAATCAGTAAGAAAGGGCCGGAGCTGGGGGAGAGGAGGGCACTGAGAACTTTGGTCCTGCCCCAAAAGTGCTCAGGCTAAGGTGAGCATGACCTGTGCCCACAGCTGCCTGGAGTGGAGAGCTGTCAAAACTATTTATTCCGCTATGGACGCCACCCCCTAATGGAGCTACCACTCATGATCAACCCCACTGGTTGTGCCCGATCAGAGCCTAAAATCCTCACACACTACAAACGGTGAGCTTGTGGGGCTGGGGCCAAAGGATATGAGTGTGGGAGTTGGTAGGCACCCTCTGGCCAATTGAGGGTTTGGGGTTACAGGTTACAGTTCCCCTTGGAGAGAATGGGGGTTCACTCTAGGCCTCCTGGTTAGAGGTTATGTAGTTATCAGTACGGTATCCCTTCCCACCTTCCCCCAACCTGTTCAGGTGTCCTGGGTTAACCTGGGGTCTAGGGCAGACTTATCTTGGGCATCCTGGGAATGAATGGCTGTTGGGGAGGTACTGGGCAGGCAGGGGTCCAGTCATCTCCTTCCTCTCCTGTTTTGCTCCCAGGGGACCTGTGATCCTCCCAAACTTCAGGTGTCCCATGAGTGCTAGGGTCACCTTCCCTTCCCTAGGCTGACTTGGTTTCAAAAGTAAATAATTAGAAATATAATAGAAAAATAATCAAACCTTAAATTTGTATAGCACTTTATACTTTTTTTTTCAAAGCGTTTTCACATCCATTATCTCATTTGATCCTCACAACAACCTTATGAGGTAGGTAGGGCAGGTGGTATGACCCCCATTTCACAGCTGAGGAAACTGAGACCCAGAAAAGTTAAGTGACTAGACAAAGGTCACAGCTGGGACCAGAACATTACATGTTGACTTGTGCTTTCCTGTTCCTTCTGTGTTCCTCAGTAGCCTGACCTTGGTCACTGGGTAGAGGGAGGCAGAACTCACGGTAGCAGGGCTTTTGTGAAGGCCTTCGGTTACTCCTCAAGCTGTCGTAGAGTGTCTGACTCTACCCCAGTCAGCCCTCATCCTTGAAGCCCTATAACAGTGGTTTTCAAACTGTGTGTGTTCCAGAAAGTCTTGGAACACACAAACTAAGCGGGTAGAACTTGGCCCTCCCCGTGTATAACTCCCCCTTCAAATTCAACCAGAAGAATTTCATTTTCATCTAGTTTATGTATTGGAGTTCCAATAACATTTCATTAAGAAGAAAGAAAAAAAATATTCCTACTAAAGAAAGAAGAGAAAAAATGTTTGAAAACCACTGCTCTGGGATGGGGAAGAATTTGGCTGGTGCCCTAGGGTGGTGAGAAGGTATCCTTCAGGCAGCAGTCATTCCCCTGCACTGAGCCGTCTGCACAGAGCCCAATGTTACATTAGAAAAGGGGACAGTCCAAAGAAAGGAAAGGATGCCCCTTTCGGCTATGAATTCAGAGCCACTTTTAATTCAAACCCAGTCCAATGTGGTAAACACAGGCCCCATTTCCAGGGCTTCCAGTAGGAGCAGGCAGTAGGACTCAGATGTTTGAGCAAACCATGAACTTAAATTACAGGCCTGGGCTGCTTGGGGAATTCCTCCAGAAGAGCACGGCCTTAAGCACAGTTTGGCAGGAGGGTGGTAGAAGGCAAGGAGATGGGAGAGTGGGCTCAGTGTAGGGGAATTGGTGCCTCCCTTCACTCCACTCCCCACCCCCATCTCTGTGCCACCCAGGGTGTTGGAAGGGTCCCCATAGCTAGTTAATTTCCTCATCAAAACCAAGACCCATATGCCTCCACTCTGTTCCCAAGGCAGCACATGCCCCTCACTGGCATGCTGCACATCCCAGGGAGGAGGCAGGTGGTGTGTGCTTGGTGTGAGGGAGAGCTGTCTTGTTATGCACTGTATTGCCTCCCAGGCCCCACACCCTGAACAGCACCAGCATGTCCAAGGCATATCAGAGCACCTTCACAGGCGAGACTAACACCCCGTACAGCAAGCAGTTTGTGCACTCCAAGTCATCTCAATATCGGCGGCTGCGCACTGAGTGGAAGAACAATGTGTATCTGGCTCGCTCCCGCATCCAGGGCCTGGGGCTTTACGCAGCCAAGGACCTAGAAAAGCACACAATGGTCATTGAGTACATTGGCACCATCATTCGCAACGAGGTGGCCAACCGGCGGGAAAAAATCTATGAGGAGCAGGTATGGGCTGATGGAGGGGCCATTGTGGTGCATGGTCCACACTCAGCCAAGGAACAAGGAGCAGTATGGGGGTCAGGTGGAAAGCTGGGAGGAGGAGGTGAGAGGTGGGAGAAAGGAAAAAGAAGAAATGAAGCTCACTGCCTGAGCTTGCTACCCGATCCCACTATCACACCATGGCCATTCTCTGATACTCTTGACCCTTCTGCAACTTTTTCCTTTCTAGAATCGAGGCATCTACATGTTCCGGATAAATAATGAACATGTGATTGATGCCACGTTGACCGGAGGCCCTGCCAGGTGAGAGGAATTAGGAAGGAGGGATTTAGGGATCTCTGACTCTAATACACTGGGGTTGGGCCAATAAGGAACCAAAACCATCCCAAGTTAATCATGTGGCATCCCTGACTCTGTCCCACTGCCTAGGTACATTAACCATTCCTGTGCCCCTAACTGTGTGGCGGAAGTTGTGACATTTGACAAAGAGGATAAAATCATCATCATCTCCAGCCGGCGAATCCCCAAAGGAGAGGAGGTAAGAGGAAGCATCATGAGTGAGTGACAAAGCAGCTCTCTCTTCTCTGTTATTCCCCAGAGCCAAGTTCCAAGGCCACTGCCCTCAGAGCAGATCATCTCTGCCCTCCCCAGTTCCTCTGAGGGGCTGGTACTGATTCTGCCCTCTTTTCTTAACAGCTGACCTATGACTATCAGTTTGACTTTGAGGACGATCAGCACAAGATCCCCTGCCACTGTGGAGCCTGGAATTGTCGGAAATGGATGAATTAAAAAGCTTTGAGGCTACCAGGCAGGGGAGTCCCTCCACCCCCAACCTCTTCCCTGAAAGGGATGAGAGGGAAGAGAGGTAGCGGCCAGAGCCAGGACCCAGGGCTGGGGCTGCCGGCTGACCGGAGCCCCTGGAGCAGGAGGCTGGGGCAGAGGGCCCTAGGCCAAGCCCACCCTGGGCACCAGGGATAACCCTCTTCCCTGCCATCGGCCCCCAGGCTTGCATCTCTGCCCCAGCTCCAGGAGGAGCCAGACAGAAGCAGCCATTGGGCATCTCAGGTTTGAGGGGGATATGGGCCGGGAACTACCCAGAAGCATCTGGGAGGCAGCAGGGAGCGGGGAGGAGGACGTGTGGCCGGGCCTCACAGCCCTGCTGCTCCCACTGACCTCTTCGGCCCAACTCAAGGCTGCAAAGAGACTTGACTAAGCTTGACAATCCCAAAGGCCGGGTCTCACACCTGGCCCTGCCTGCCGGGTCCTGCCCCCCCCCCTCACCCCCATCCCCTTCCCTCTCAATCTGTCTCTGTCTCCCTCGTATCCTCTGTGTTTCTCTCTATGGGTTTTGTTTCCTTGTTTTCCACTCTGACAAATGCAACATGAATGGGAAAGAGGCGCCCAGCTGCCCAGAAGGGCAAGCCAGGCAAGCCGGGCAAGGAGACCCCACACCCACACCTACCTCATTTAAGTGTTGGATTTTTTGCTGTTTTGAAATGTGAGACCCTCTCCAAGCCCCCTACTGCCCCAACTCTCTCCCCCACCTCACTGCCCTCTTCTGAGTGGGTGGAAGGGGGGTAGGAGGAGGAAGAAAACAACAACAACAAAAAATCCATCTTTGTTTTTAATTCTGGGCATGGGATGGCGGCTGAGGCTAATGATGATGAAGATGGGGGATGACTGGCCCTTAGTTGCTCTAGGACTTCCTTCTCCATCTGGACATGGGGGTAGGAGGGATGTGCTAAACCTAGGTCCAGGATATTTCCCTCCTGTTTTCCCAACCCCATCATGAGCCCATTTGCCCTCCAGCCCCTGGATGGGGTGGGTGGGTGATGGAGGTGAGGGCTATCCCTGAGTGGCATGCCCATACCCAGTGAGGCGGGGTGTGGCCCAGAGCTCCCACTTTCCCTCAGTCACCAAACTGCTGCTGGTCTGGTGGGAAGAGGTGGTGATGTGGGGGTGGGGAGCTTAGTGTCAGCGCGGGGAGGGTGGGGGGTATTTATCTATTTATACATGGGATTGTACATAGTCTTGTGGGGCATGGGGGAGCCGGCTGGAGGTGAGAACCCTCCCCTCTCCCCCCACCCTCGGGGAGAGCAAATGTAAAACTACTAATTTTTGTGCTTTATATATTCTATATAAATATATCTATTTTCTTTTTACAAAACCAGTTTATAAATGGTAGGGGGGTGTGGGGCGGATACATGGAGCTCCCCTTGTGGGGGGGCCCCCTCCATTACCCAACCTACCGCCCTTTTCCTCACCCCCTCCTCCCCACCCCCTGGCTGTGACTGCTGTAAGATGGGGGTATAGAGGCTGGGCAATTCCCACCCCCTATTGTATAGTTGGACTATTATAACGCACAAAAGTGAGCTGGCCCCAGGGGGAGCCAGAGGGTGATGGGTTCCCTGCCTCCCTTTCCTTCCCCTTTCTGCCCAAGCTTGTGCTGCAGTTGAACCTCTTCCTGGGGTAGGGGTAGATCAGGGGGTGGGTGAAGCCCCACACCCCTGTGTGGTAGGGAGCCATGGGGATGAAGATGAAGCTTATGTGCAGTTCTCTCCTAGGGGCTGTGGGCAAAGGGCATTTTGTAATTAATATTTTCAAGAATCAAATGTATGGAGTGTAGGGATGGGCTTGGTGGTTGGTGGTGGATGGGTGGGCCTGCTGGAAGGGGAGCACAGTCGCTGTTGTGATTTTAGGTTTGTTTTTGTTTGTTTTTGAATCGGGGATTGTGGATTGATGGGGGTAGGGAGATTTTTTTTTTTTTAAGCTGCTTCCTCAACTGTTTCAAGCTGCAAATGTTTAAGAGAATAACATCCCTCCACCCTCACAGAAACCACTGTAATTAAATCAGACAGTGGGGAGACTGGGCTGCTGCTCCCAAAGCCATCGGATGTCCCTTTTCCAAGAGCAAAAGGTCTAGGCTACAGGGATGGGGAGATTGGCTCTTGTGAGTCAGGCTCTGGTTGGGGCCTGGGCCCTGGGATTGGGAAAAGGGGATGGGGCAGACTTTGTAAGCATATGCTAGGTATCCGATAGTCCTGTAGAATTTAGTAAAGAAACCTTATACAGTTTTTAATTTTTATATAAACTAACTCAGACCCAAGTTACAAGGTTGGAATTTTGGTTGTTGGTGTTTTTTTTTTGTTTTGTTTTTTTAAGTACCCCGCCTGTATAATTGCATCAGAATTCCCTCCTCCTCCCTCCCCCGTGTTTGTATTTTGGGTTGGTTTACACTTGCACATATTCAATTTTCAGTTTTTCCCCTTTACAGTCTTCTCCCCTCACCTCCAGGACCCTCCCCCTTTTAAAAAAAAATAAATCGCTGACAAGTGTGAATCCCGTGAAGACTTTATTTTGTGTTGTGTGTATCCTGTACAGCAAGGTTGGTCTTTCGTAACAGCGGATGAAATGATTCCCTTTTAAAGTGCCCGCCCTCCACCCCCAGCGCCCCTGTCCTTGGCATGTTTTGTATCAGCGATCATTCTGAACTGTACATAATTTATGTTGCAAGAGGCAAAGGGCAAGTTTTGGATTTTGCTTCTTCCAAGTTTGTTTTTAAACGACAAATAAAAAGAGAACATTTTAAATACAAGTGGCTCCGTCCTGTCACCCTCGCCGTCAGCCGACAGGACCCAGGGGAGGGCGCCTACCAGGCCCGGCCGCGCCGGAAAGCGAGCTCCGCGCCTTCCGCCCTTGCTGGCGTTGGTTCTGACGTAAGCGGAAGTGGCGTCGCGGTACCGGACGTGGGGCGGGGCCACCCCTTCCCCGGCGAGCCTCTAAAGAACGCTGCCAGCGGCGCCTTTTGCAATGGAGACGGTGAGGAGCGCGGAAAGGGGGCTGGGAGGCCTGGGCAGGGGCGGGCGCTGGTGCCCAGTAGCCGGGAAGCCGGGGGTCTGTCCTGCCCGTGCTCCTGCCCCCCGCTCCTTCCCGGGCGCATCTCCGCGGACTGGGCCTGCCTTCCGCTCGCCGTACTCAGCCCGAGTGGGCAGTGACACCGAGCTCCCCCTCAAATGCCGCGCGCACCCTGGCGATTTCAGGGCTCCTTTCGTCTTAGCACCTCAGGCCCCTCAGAGGTGGTGATTCGGCTTTCCTGTGAAAGGCGGGAGGGGGAGGTCCCCCCGCTTGCAGGCATCACCTGGCCCGGGTTGTCTTAAGTGTGATCCCTGCAATGCCTGGCAGGAGGGACATCTAAAAAACTTATATTGCCGCAAGGTGTCCACCGAGCTCCCATTCTCCTAATAAAACTGAAAAGTGGGGTTTCTCTAAAGGAGGGATTGTTCAGTGGTAGAGGCCGCTGTGTCCCTGGACAAGTTTTAGGTCATGCCCAGCTCTGCGATTCCAAGCAGGCATGTTGGCATTTCATTCTTGGCGAGCAGGCATTGACCAAGTGTGGCAGGTCCGTCACCCTTCCCGGGATGCTTCAGGCTGCCTGCTACAGGGACCCACCTCACTATCAGGAGCCTTTTCTAGCACTCTGGAACCCTTCCCATTAATTCCCTCTCCGGAGTTTTTAATCATGTAATCTGTCAGGCAGAATATTTCTTCCTATCTTGGTTTTTATCATCTGCTACTGTAATTGTGTATAGGCTGCAGGTTCACTGTTCTTTGGGTCAGTTATCTGCCCAGAGTAATTATTTTACCGTATACTTTCTCTGCCTGCAAAGAGGTCATGTCCCTCAGGTTATAAAGAAGAAAACAAACCAAAGTGGTAAAGTGATTTGCAAATGCTCCCCTAGGCAAGAGGGTCATATATATATATATATATAATTTTAGAGAGGAAGGGAGAGAGAGAGAAACATCAATGATGAGAATCATTGATGCCTCCTGCATGCCCCACACGGGATCAAGCCTGCAAGTCAGCATATGCTCTGATGGAGAATCAAACCGTGATCTATTTCATAGGTCAATGCTCAACCACTGAGCGACCGTGGCAGGGCACAAAGTATTTTTATATAGATTTTATAATTTAACCCTCACACTTTTTGTACTGGATTAGGTTCTTGGGATAGAAATTATTTTAAAAAGAAAACCCCTGTTTTTGAAGATGCTCAGCCTAACTGGAGTGGGGCTGAGGGCAAGCCAGTGACAGCTGTTATTTAAGGTAGACTATAATAAATGCTGTTTTCAAGAGGCAAACAAAGGACTGTGGAAGCATAGGGGAGGGAGAAATTACTGTGAACCTGAGAGAGGGCACTGTAGGCTGAGAGAACGGTGTGAGCAAGGGCATAGAAATCCAGGTATGTAGAGATTAATTGAGGAAGAGCCAGTGGCTTAATGTTGCTGGAGTTTGGGATTTGGGTCACAGTGAGGCGAAAATAGGCTGAGGTCGGGTTGAAGGTATTGAATACCTTGCTAAATTTAGTCTTTGTAATAAGGGAACCCATGAAGATTTATGAGCAAGGCAGTGAGTGTGATTAAAGAATGTTCTTTTTAATATACATATACATATATATTTTTTTTTTATTTAATTAATTTCAAAGAGGAGGGGAGAGGGGAGACAGAGAAACACCAATAATGAGAGAGAATCATTGATTGGCTGCCTCCTGCATGTCCCCAGATTGAGCCTGTAACCAGGGCATATGCCCTTGACCGGAATTGAACCCAGCACCCTTCAGTCCACAGGCCAGTGCTCTATCCACTGAGCCAAACCGGCTAGGGCAAGAATGTTCTTAACAGCGTTATGTAAATGGATGGATCTTCAGAAGGTAGTGAGTTCCTAGTTGCTGGAGATGAAAGTCCCTCCCAAAACTGAGATGCTTGGCTGGCAAAAGAACGTGGTGATGGCATGAAAGAAGAATTCAAGAAGAGATAGCCTGGCCTGTGTGGCTCAGTGGTTGAGCATTGACCTATGAACCAGGAGGTTACTATTCAATTCCCAGTCAGGGCACACGGCTGGAATATAGGTTAAATCCCCAATGTGAGGCTTGCAAGAGGCAACTAATCAGTGATTCTCATCACTTATTTTTTAAAATATATTTTTATTGATTTCAGAGAGGAATGGAGAGGGAGAGAGATAGAAACATCAGTTTAGTTGATAGATATTAAGGATAGGTTTAGGTCAGTGGTTGGCAAATTCATTAGTCAATCAAGCCAAATATCAACAGTACAACGATTGCAATTTCTTTTGAGAGCCAAATTTTTTTTTTAATATATTTTTTATTGATTTTTTTACAGAGAGGAAGGGAGAGAGAGAGAGAGCTAGAAACGTCAATGAGAGAGAAACACCGACCAGCTGCCTCTTGCACACCCCCCACCGGGGATGTGCTCGCAACCAAGGTACATGCCCCTGACTGGGAACCTGGGACCTTTCAGTCCACAGACCGATGCTCTACCACTGAGCCAAACTGGTTTCGGCTGAGAGAGCCAAATTTTTTAAACTTAAACATATTCTAACGCCACTTCTTCAAAATAGACTTGCGCAGGCTGTGTTATTTTGTGGAAGAGCCACACTCAAGGAGCCAAAGAGTCGCATGTAGCTCACGAGCCGCAATTTGCCGACCACAGGTTTAGGTCATGCTCTGCTCTTGTGATTCTAAGCAGACATGTTGGCATAGCTCATTCTTAGAGGAATCAAGATTTCAGTTTTTAAGCACCTAGGAGAGCAGTGCCAAAAACAAATATGGGAATCACAGTAAAGATAATAGGATTGGAGGGACAGATGCTGTTCTGCTTTGCATTAAAACACTTATAGAGTCTGTGACATCTGTGGTTGTCTAGCAAACAATTGAAAATATGGATTAGGAGTCTGAAATTGTGAATCTATGTGCCTTTCTACTAGTATTTTGTACTTATGTAGTACAGTGGTACTTTCTCAGGTCCCCTATATTATTTTTAAAAATATATTTCTATGGATTTCAGAGAGGAAGGGAGAGGAACAGAGAGCCAGAAGCATCGATCAGCTGCCTCCTGCACACCCCCTACTGGGGATGTGCCCGCAATCAGAGAGATAGAAACAATGGTGAGAGAGAATCATTAATCAGCTGCGTCCTGCACACCCCACACGGGATCGAGCCCACAATCCAGGCACATATACATGCCCTAACCCAGAATCGAACCATGATCTCCTGGTTTATAGTACTGAGCCACACTGGTCAAGCTCCCCATGTTATTAAAAGTTGAGGGGAGCCCTAGCTGTTTTGGCTCAGTGGGTAGAGCATCAGCCTGCAAACTAAAGGGTCCCGGGTTCGATTTTGGTCAAGGGCACGTTCCTGGGTTTAGGGCTGGATCCCCAGTATGGGTCCTGTAGAAGGTAGCCAATCAATGATTCTCTCATCATTGATATTTCTAGCTCTCTCTCCTTCCTTCCTCTCTAAAATCAACAAAAATATATTTTTAAAAAAGTTGAGAGGAATGGACATATTACCCCACTCCTGTGTGGAGAGAGAGGAAGATAAAGTCATCTTCAGTTGTGGTGTCTAACTCTCTTCTGTAGTTATCTGTGTTTCTATTTTGCTGGATGTCTCTTTTTTCTCTCTAACTTAGTCTTAGTCTTTGTTCATATTAGCATGCATGATTATCATCAGTTTGAAAGTTAAGAAATAAAAACAGCCGAAACCAGTTTGGCTCGGTGGATAGAGCATCGGCCTGTAGACCGAAAGGTCCTGGTCAAGGGCACGTACCTTAGTTGTGGACACATCCCTAGTGAGGTGTGCAGGAGGCAGCTGATCGATGTTTCTCTCTCATCAATGTGTCTAACCTTTCTTTCTTTCTTTCTTTCTTTCTTTCTTTCTTTCTTTCTTTCTTTCTTTCTTTCTTTTTTAAATATATTTTATTGATTTTCTACAGAGAGGAAGGGAGAGGAACAGAGAGCCAGAAACATCGATCAGCTGCCTCCTGCACACCCCCTACTGGGGATGTGCCCGCAATCAAGGTACATGCCCTTGATCAGAATCGAACCCGGGACCCTTGAGTCCGCAGGCCGATGCTCTATCCACTGTGCCAAACCGGTTTCGGCAGATGTGTCTAACTTTCTATCTCTCTCCTTTCCTCTCTGTAAAAAAACTCAATAAAATATATTTTTTAAAAAACAAAACAATATGCAGAATCCCATGTTATATGGGGGATATAAATAAGTATAAAATAGTTCCAGGATTCCAGGAATTTATAATCTATTTGGATAGATAATGAGCAAAATAACTAACACATTTTGGTATGTAAATATTTTATGGTGGCTATAATAATTTCTACAAATAGCTGTTTCTGTGTCTTTCTATATAGACTTTAGTGAGACTATTATATAACTTGTGTATCTTTTTCTTAAATTGATTTTAGAGAGAGGAAGGGAGTGAGGGAAAGAGAAACATCGATTTGTTCCACTTATGCATTCATTGGTTAATTTTTTTAAATTGATTTTTTACAGAGAGGAAGGGAGAGGAATAGAGAGTTAGAAACATCAATGGAAAAGAAACATCGATCAGCTGCCTCCTGCATACTTCCCACTGGTGATGTGCCTGCAACCAAGGTGCATACCCTTGACCGGAATTGAACCTGGGACCTTTAAGGTTCCGCAGGCCAGTGGTCTACCCACTGAGCCAAACCAGTTAGGGCCATTGGTTAATTCTTACATATGCCCTGACTGGGGAGTGAACC